TGTGGAGGAGGGACACACTGCAGGGCCGGCTGGAGGTGGGGCCGCTCAGACTGCCCGGCTAGGAGAGGGCTGTTGCCGAGGTGGCAGCTGAAGAAATCTGAGCGGAGAAGCACGTGAGCCGAGACCTGAATGTGGTGAAGCGGTCACCCCAGGATTGGGGACAGAGGGGCCAGGCGAAGGGACAGACAAGGTGGACAGCTCCGACATAGGTGTGACCGGGCCCGCAGGAGGCCAAAGGAGACAGGGCCCAGATAGAGGAGGGGCCTGTGGGACAGGAGGAGGAGTTTAGATTGCACACTTGGGGTGACGGGAAGCCTTGGGTGTAAAGCGAGCGAGGGCGGCAGGATCTGGGTCATGGGAGGACGACAGGCTATGGCGAGGGAAGAGTCAAACCAGAGGGACTGGTTTAGGAAGCCGTGACAGTGACCCAGGTGAGAGACAATGGTGATGGAGAAAAGTGGCTGGATTCTGGGTGTGTGTGAGCGGTAGAGCCAACAGACCGACCGGCTGACAGAGTGAACGTGGCGGCCAAGCAGAGGAGAGAGGCAAGGACGCGGGGCCAGCTTTCTGCTCGGCCCAGAGACTGAAGGTGGCGCTCACTGGCTGGCTGTTCACTGGCACGCAGGCTGTGATCAGCGTGAAGCCTGGGCTGTGTGTTAAACCCAGGAGTGGGCAGCACAGCTGTTCAGGAGCTGGAGGGAGTCAGAAAACCCAGTGTGCAAGGACAGAGTGCCTGGAGATCCAGCACCCTTGGCACTGGGCTGTGTTCTTGCAGTTTTTCAAAGCAGACAATGGATTATCCAAGGAGCTCAGCCTTTGGTGGGTGATCGGCTCTGTGGTGGCTCAGGGGGTAGCAAGTCACGGAAGACCCCACAGAGGAAGCCTGGAGGACACGGAGTCCCTTGCTTGGGTGGGGGGAGCGGGGGTCATCTTGGCAAGTGGAACAAGGGCCAGAGCGTGGCCGTGTGAGGGCTGGAAACAGGACGTGAGAATGCCCCAGCCCACCTCCAAGTAGAGGTGGAATGGAAGGCCAGGCTGTGGAGACAGAGGGGCAGATCCCAGTGACCGCAGACTGCAGCCAGGCTAAGCAGGGGATGCGCGATTATGCTGGGATTTTAGGTGAATTGAAGGAAGGAAAAGCCAGATAGTCATTTGAGGGCTTGGACAAGTATGGTAACAATGACTTTTTTTTTTTTTATCTTATAAAGAGGTATTTGTTTACTTTGAAAAAGTTACAAAGAGAGAGGGAGAGACAGATGTTTCATTTGCTGGTTCACTTCCCAGGTGGCCACAATAGCCAGGGCTGGGCCAGGCCAAAGCCAGGGGCTTCATGCAGGTCTCCCACATGGTTGGCCCCAACACTCGGACCATCTTCTGCTTTTCCCAGGCCGTCCATTAGCAGGGAGCTGGATCAGAAGTAGAATAGTGGGATGTGAGCCAGTGTCCATAAGGGAGGCCAGCATTGCAGGCGGCGGCTTTACCCACTGTGCTACAATGCTTGCCCCTTATTTATTTCAAAGGTAGAGTGATAGGAAAGGGGAGAGAGAGAGATTTTTAAAAAAGATTTATTTATTTATTTATTTGAAAGTCAGAGTTACACAGAGAGGAGAGGGAGAGGGACAAAGAGAGAGAGAGACAGAGAGAGAGGTCTTCCATCCGATGGTTCATTCCCCAGATGGCTGCAATGGCCGGACCTGTGCTGATCTGAAGCCAGGAGCTTCTTCCAGGTCTCCTACGCGGGAGAGTAGGACTTGGGCCATCTTCTGCTTTCCCAGGCCACAGCAGAGAGCTGGATCGGAAGAGGAGCAGCTGGGACTAGAACCGGCGCCCATATGGGATGCCGGCACTTCAAGCCAGGGCATTAACCTGCTGCGCCACTGCACTGGCCCGAGAGAGGTTTTCTATTCGCTGTTCCCTCCCCAAATGCCCAACACAGCTAGGGTTGTGCTGGGTGGGCAGCCAGAAGCCTGGAGCCCCATCCAGGTGTCCCACCCATGTGGGGGAAAGGGACTTGGGTACTTGGGCCATCACCAGCTGCCTCCCTGGATGCCCGTTAGCAGGAAATGGGATCAGAAGGGGAGCAGCTGGGACTGGAACCAACACTTCAGTTCGAGATGCAGGGGTCCCACGTGGCAGCTTAACCAGCGTGCCTGAATGCCCACCTCAATAAGAGCTTTCAAGAGGAGGGCCCCTCTGCTTCCTGGTCCCCTCCTCTGCCCTCCGTGCCCACAGAGCTCTCTCGCTCAGGCCTAGCTTACCATGGGCGCTCGCTGTGGTCAGCAGCACTGCCTCCCTCTCTCTCACAATAGGCCACGTTCGTTCTCACTTCAGAGCCTTCCCCTTGGCTCTTTCTGCTACGTAGGAGGTTCTGCCCTTAGCTGTGTGTGCAACTGAACTCTTGTCATCCTCCCAACCTCAGTTCAAGGTCACCTCTGCAGAGGCCACTCCAGCCGCTTCACCAAAGCACCGGCGAGATAGCTGGGTTTACTGCGCACTTGTTTACTGCTTGTTTCTCTCTGTGGACACTCGGCAGCGTTGCCGTGCTGTCTTAGTCATGGTTGTGTCCGCAGTGTCTCAGACAGGAAGTGACAGGTGTTGGGAGCGCATCAAATGCATTGGCGGAAGGAAAGAGAAGAGACGGAAAGACATCCGGTGTGGGATGAGGAAGGAGACTCGCTTCCCGAACTGCCCCATAATGCGAGATCTGTGGACAGAAGGTGAAGAAACTCTCAATAATTGTGCTGAGTGACGCCACTTTCCACTTCTGAAACAGTCGCGTTGAAAAACCACGATGACCAAAATGGTCTGGAAGCCGCTTAAGGCAGGAGAAGGGAGGGAGGGAGGGAGCACCTTTTAGAGGGGTCCTGGATAGTGAAAGTCACGACTCCGGGACCCCCAGATTCCAGGAAGGCAAAGGAAACCATCACTAGCTAAGGAGTCCCGGAATGTTGATTTTGGCCAGCCTGTTTGTTTAGGGTCAGATAAGCAGGCCAGGCTCTGAGGCGCTCAGCTTCTACCGGCTCATTTAATCCTCACAGTCCCCAGTTGTTATCAACTCCATTCTACAAACAAGAAAACTGAGCCCCGGAGAGAGCTGGAACGGCAGCCCGGGGGTGACGCAGCGCGGGAGCCACAGAGCCAGAACCGATCCAGACAAGTCCCTCTGCAAAGCTGCACGGCGGGACAGCGGTGGGGCTCTCCCCACTTTGCTAGCATCACCAGCTTAGCTTTGTGTCACTTGCATCCGTCAGGACAGGCTAAACCACTGGCTTCGCTCACTGGTTTCTCGCTGGTTGCCCTGTTCCCTGTGGGCAGCACTGAAGCTCACCTCCACACCGTCATCTCACTGCCCCCGGGGCCTTTGGAGTCCACCGTGTATCTCCTGCACCTGGCCAGCCAAGGAGCAAGCAGAGAGCGCACATGGAGGACCTAGGGGAGATTCAGGAGCCACGACCCCTCGGCCAGCCCTCAGGCGCATGACCCACAGAGGTGTGAGGTGGCCAGGAACAGAGTGGTGGTGGGCGGCTCGCAGAGCACTGCCCGGGGCTTGTTTTTAAGGACTTTGCTGGGGAGACCTGGCACAGGGCGAGCTAGGATGCTTCTCATCCTGATGACTCAGCTGTCAGGTAGTCTTTGCTGAGAGCTCACATAGTCCTCATCAGTAACGTGAGGAAATCCAACCAGATGGCCCATCTTAGAAGCCTTCAAATCCAAACTATCTATGGAGGGAAGCATCATTTTATTTTTAATAACCATGGGGCCTTAATCATTTTTATATTGATCTATTTGTGCTTCTGTTCAAAATTGCAACCATAATGTCGACTCAGAGGAAAAATACCGTTTATTTTCCTTTGATACTATCTAGTTACCCATCACATAAGGCACACTCTCAGAGGACAAGGGAGCCTCCGACTTTTTATTAGGACGGGTTATTTGAAGCAATTAAGTTGGGAGAAAATGTAATGCCTAGAGCCAGGTCTAAGTACTAAGCATAATGGTGCTACGGGCAGAGTCTTTGCCAGGATCTGACAACTCTTGCAATGCAGTGCTGAGCGCGGCTGCAACGTGTCGGGGCATGTCAGGTTAGCAAGGTGCGGATCACCCAGAAAATACTCATCCAGGGCAGCAGAGTTAATAACCAGGGGCCGAGGCTCCCTTGCAAGCCCTCGCTCGCTGCCAGAGAGCCTTGGTTTCTGGAGTGGTGTGTGTGTGAGGAGGGAGGGGGAGGCAGAGTTTCGTAACCAGAGGGGTTTTGCAAGGCAAGGCAGTTTGAGAGCTGGGGTAAGGTTTAGACGGGCGTGGTGGAGAGACCTGGGGCTGAGTAAGAGGTTTCAACCCCTAGCAAAGGTGACAGGGAGTCAGGTGGACTCTTCGGTGGGATTCCTATCTCAGGAAAGCAGAAGTGTGTGTGTGTGTGTGTGTGTGTGGACTCAGAGACCTCGTAGGAGACAAGGACCAGGAGAAGGAGGGCCGTGCACGCGCAGGACACTCCTCGTGTCCTCCTGCCTCAGCGTCTCCACGCCCATCCACTGGAGAACCTCGGAGCCAGGCCACGTGGCCCCCTCCACTGCCACGTCCCCCTCACCCTAGCCTCCATTTTCCCCCCGAACACCTGAAATCCTCTCTTGCCACTCCTCGCTCTCACAACTCAGTGACGGTTTGTGGACGAAGCACACACTGTTCTATCTCCACTTGCCTGAGAGCCTGTGGCTTCTCACAGCACATGCCAGCCTTTAATACATCTTACAGGGCCCCGTGGTGTAGGGCTGCCGGCCCCGTGGGCCCCACACGTGGCCCCTACTCGTGCCTGCCACTGCTGCAGTGTTCAGCCATGTTGCTGTCTCGGCTTCTCAGGAGAAGCAATAGGTCCAGTTACTGGCCTAACAAAAAGCACAAGAAATGTACTACTATTCCTCTGTTTGGGGGTGGGGGGTGGGAGGGTGGAGACACTGTTAACAGCTGAGCTTATTGTTCTAAATTTAGAGACGCTTTACCTGAAAAAATCACCTAAAGGCTGAAGAAAAATGTGCCAAGCATTTTTGGAAATGCCTGAAAATAAGTTTTTCCTGTGTTTCAAGATTTACCAGTGTTATATATTAACGTTAGCCGTCGCAAAGCACACCGGACACCGGAGTAAGGGAAAGGGTTTATTGGGGAACACCCTACAGACCGGAGTGAAGGGGCGACGAAGGAAAAAGGGAGGGAGACTGTAAGAGAGAGAGACAGAGAGGAGAGGAGCTAGCAAGGAGAGAAGATAGAGCAGAGAAGAGGAGAGAGGAGAGCAGAGCCAAGAGACCAGAGGAGGAGGCTGGAGAGAGGAACCGAGAGAGAGCAGGAGAGAAGGGGCCAAGAGAGCAGGAGAGAAGGGCCAAGAGCCCAGAGGAGGTGGCTAGAGAGAAGAACCGACAGAGAGCAGGAGAGAAGGGCCGAGAGAGCACGTGTGCAGGAACAGGCCCTTTTAAAACTTTGCCTGAGGGCAGGCAGGGAAGCAGGAGCAGCGAATCCCATTAGGGTGGGGGTGGAGCCTGGCTCAGGTAGCTGGGCCATGCGGCCACCTGGCTACAACCGCGCCAGTTTCCTAACAACCAGCCCACGTGTATGCTTGTTTGTCATTGAGGCCTTGGCTCAGTACTCCCCACTCAGAGCCCTCGTGACCTCCCCGATGGGTCACTCTTGCCTGGTACCCACTGCCCCAGCATCCTGTTCACAGCGCTTGCCGTAACTACACTTTTGGCACACGTCGGTATGGCTCTCCGATGACTGTCTGCTGCCACATTAGACTCTGAGCACTGGACAGTCAGGGATCTGCTCTGCTTGTTCCGGGACACCCAGGGCCAACACAATTCGTACCAGGTAATAGGCGCCCCTAGGTCATTGCCCAAAGACAGAGCCGACCCCACCGTGACTGCCGTCTGCTCTTCTGCCCTTGGCCTTGCTGTCTCCTCTGCCGTGCTGCTCCCGTGTCCTGCACAGACCCAGCCACAAACACTCCCCTCCCCATGCTTCTGCTGTTCGTGTTTCTCCTGCTGCCTAGAAGTGACGGTGCTCAGCCTCTGGTGCACGGGGCCAGAGCCGAAACGCAGATTCAGTGCATGGTGATGGCACTGACACATGGCCTCCAGGCAAACAGTGCTGGCAGCGCAGGGCCAGAAGTGTCGTCTCCCGCAGCTCCTGACGGGCCAGAGTGCTGCTGCGGAGCGGGTGAACTTCTTCCCCGCCTCCCTCACTCAGCACAGGGCCCCCAAGCTCAGAGACGAGGGTCACCTGCTGCACGTGCGTAGCCAGCAGTTCTTGCACCTGACAGTTGTCCACAGCCACTTGGACTGTTACGAGCATCACTTCCTGTGTCCACCCCAGACCTACTAAATCAGGGTCAACTGGGGTGGGCCCAGGAATCCGTGTCTCTGACTCCCTCCCCAGGTCTGCATGCCGTCCTGCTGTCACTGTGGGTCCTTGGGTAGAGGGGACAAAGCGAACCCACTGCTGTTCCCAACACAAGGCAGAGGGAAAGGCCCCAACAGAGGTCTGCGCCCCTAGTTTTCAGCGATGACACGGACGCACGGCATGCCAGGAACCACAGCCACAGCGGAGGAACAGCGCAAGGTTCTGAAGAAGCCTGGAACCCCCGACTTGAGCCCAGGCTCCGCGGGAAGGCTGGAGGTGTGGCCCCCTGGAGGTCACTCTGGGATGGATCTCCTCCTGTTCTCATTGTCATCCTACTGCCGTGGACAGCTCTATAGAACAGTTACCATCTGACAGACACTATTCTAGAACTTCACATGTATGATTTCGCCTAATAAACAGGAACAATGAGAGGCAGATACAGAGTAGAATGCCCCACCCGCGTCCTGGAGAGCTGCAGAGGCAGCCCTGGACGCAACACTGGATCAACTCTGGGCTCTCGGAGATTGGATCGGACCTCTGTGGGAATGACTCAGCCCAGGGTTCCCAAAGCCTGGGAGAGAGGCTGGGGCCTGCTGGCTCCTTGGGCCTCACCTATGAATTCAGCCATCCTCTAGACACCGTCAGATGTTCCCACGTGACTCTTGGTCCTGTTGCCAAGTGCCAGAGTCTAGAATTACATCCACAGACCTGCACACCAGCCGTAAGCCAGGAGGTTATTTGCAAAGCCCTTCTCATGTCTATGGGGTTGGGGGCCTGAGGTTCTGTGGCAGTGAGGATGAGGCTTGGAGGTGAGGGCTGGCGAGGAAAAACTCAAGGCCAGAATTGGTCCATCAGGATTTGGGGATAATCTATTTTTATGTTGCATGGTACTTTACGGTTTACAACATACACTAAATATACTGAGCCCATTTCATCCTCAAGCGTCTCAACCAGGGACGCTCCATTTGATAGCTGAGGTTCGGTAACTCAGCAGGGTCATGCAGGTTGACCCAAGGCTCAAGCCCAGGTCTGAGGGTCCGGGACCATTGTTCCCTGCCACCACCTCCTACGAGGGCAGGCAGAAGCCCAGGGAAGAAAGAATGAATGATGACTCTGTCTCCCCATCCAGATATTACAGAGAATATCAAAGTTTTTTTTTTTTTTAAAGTCTGGTTTCAAGCAAATTGAAAGTAACTTTTCCACTCTTCCCCCTCCTCACACCCACCACCCCCTCAACCACAAGCAAATGAGGTTGCTTGGCACCTATTGTTGGTTTGCAAGGACAGATAAATTGCTTTTCAAACAGTGTCAGCAGCTCTTGAAGAAGAGAGTGAGTCTCCCAGAGTGTATTTCTCGGGCTTCTTTTGCAAAACAGGCCATGGAAGCTCTAACTTTTAATTCATGCCACCAAGGAGGTATTTGATTGTTTCCAAGAGCTGCTAATAATACAAGGCTCATAAATACTAATGAAACACTATAGATTAGCAGAGCTCAGCAAGTAACCTGGGGGCCCAGAAGAGAATTCTTAGATGAAAAAAATATAAAGAATACCTTTTAATCGAATCCCCAGCCTAGGTTCCCAAATATTAATGAATACTCTCTCTCTGGCTATATGGAGAGCAGACTCAGATAAGTACCTGTAGAATGAAGAAGAGAATTATTGACTTGGCTTTAGCTTGAAAAGAAATCTATTTATTCAAAGGCTATTTTAGGGGCCATGGGAGGGACTAGTTTAAGACAAAGGTTGGGAGGGGTAAGAGGGCCTGGGACGCGGAGATAAACACATAATTCAAATGCATGCGTCAGTTTCAGCCAGCTAAGCAGCACAGGTTGGGATTTGCTTAGACTTGTCTTTTATGACATGGTCCTACAACGATAATAACTCCCCCTGGAACAGACAAGTCTCTATCGTTGTCATTGGCTACCGGAACCCCAACACCTAACCCAGAGCATGGCACATACCAGGGGCTCAACAAAGACTTGTTAAGTGGATAAAGAGATCCCGGAAGACATTGTCCACAGCTTTTCAGATCTTCCCTTTTCCGGAAGGGCAGTCCTAACTACAACATTCAAAGCCCCACCCCAACCACAACCACCCTTTCTGGCTTCTCTCCCAATCCTGTCCCAGGCTCACAAGACACCCTGGTCTCCTGCTGATGTTCTAGAATTTTCTCTGCCTGGAATGCTTGGACATTGCTTTCTTCCATGTTTCTCTGAAAATCGTGTTCATCTTCCAGACTCCTCCTCAAGTGGCTCCCTCTTCGTGAAAACTGCCCTCCTGTTCTCCAAAGCCTTGTCGACGTCCTTGCTCTCTCCCTGGCTGAACTCAAGAGTGGGCCTGGGCGCCTTCTGCGCCCCACGGGGACCAGCACGACTCCTGGCACGGAGCAGTGTGTCAACATTGTGGTCATGGTTTCCTCTAACTTGAGTCCCAGAGTACTGTGCGTGGAGCACTTGGTCCCAGGAAAGCTAGGCGTAGGATCCAATTAGAGGATGAGCATCTAAAGCTCTCCCACAGCAGAGCAGAAATATCCCCCCTGCATGGGCCAAAAAGTACTGGAGCAGGCCAGGCTGAAGTGAAATAAAGGTCACAGAGAAGGGAGAGGGAAAATGCAGACGGGGTGGGCGCATGAGAGCGCCGAGGTGTCTCAGATGAACAAGGGGGCCTTTCTCTGCAGAGAGCCCGGCAGCTTCAGAGTGCAGGCAGACCCGCATTGTGGGGTGTCACCCGACGTTTGGAGGGGCTCACCCAGAGCCTCCAGTGAAGGGGCTGACTGCTCAGACCTCCCTTTCACGTTGAGTTTAAGTGGGGGCAGCCGTATACCTTCTGCAAACATGGACTTGGCCAGGACTGGGTTTGTTATGTTTTCTTTGTGCATTTGGGAAGTATCTAACAATGGAATGAAAATCTCTTTGCAGTCATTTCCGCAATAGACTGGGATAAGCACTGATGTCAGCCTGGGGAATAGCCAAGCTTTGTAAGATTCTGGAAGTCCCGGCTGCTTTCCAAAGTGGGTTCATTCCTTACAAGGCAGTCGGAAGCCACGGGGCGGTGCTTGTGAACAGCTGACACCTGCCTGGCACTCAGACTCCCCAGAATGAGCAAGGTCGGCCCCACCACTCCGCTGTGTGACCTCTGCCTCCGTCTCTCCTGCTGTGGGGCGGAGGAGTTTGAGGACCCGCCTCCTGAGGTGGCAGGTGCCTAGAAGAACGCCTGGCGTATAGTAACTGCTTCATAAAAGCTATCTAAAAGTACGGTTGTCATCCTACGGCATGACCTCAGGTTGCATGGGCCAAACGGTAGAGTGGTAGGTGCCAGTTACACAATAGTGCAAGTTTTGTAAATAATGTCACGCTAGGGGCTTGGTCACATGCCAGGAGACCAGAAATAAAGTTAGGCAGGGCTTTGATGGGCACATGGGAGCCAAGTCTATGAGACATCCCCTGCGCATGTTATCCAAGGAATTAGACCTCTAAGAACAGCACCACTCGGGAAGGCCACACGTCTGGGCTCCCGTGCACAGCAGCAGGATGCAGCCTGAGCTAACCGTGAACTCTGGACTCAGGTTCCCCGAGGCCTGTGTCTGTAGGCACGGCACTATCCTGTCACCCACAAATGCATGTGAAAGTGGTGAGCACCCAGCATCAGGCACCAGCGCTGTCATTGTGAGTTCCTCCTCTTGCCAGCGTCCATGGGCGAGCCCTGGACCCGTTGTCCCGAGTCTGGGCATTCGCTGCAGCTCTGCGTGGCCTGACACACGTCACCTCACTGCTGTGGCCTGCAGGTTCCTCACCTTTAGGCAGGAGAGCTGGTCAGGATGCTGTCTTGCGGCCTCCAGCCTAGAAGTCTGACTTCCCGGGGGTTGGGTCCACAGCAGTGTCTTGCACCAGGAGGTCTCTGAAATCTCTCTGAGCTGTGCCTGGCCCTGAGGTTATGTTGGGACAAAGACCAAAGGGAGCTTCAAAGAGCTTCTTCCTCATAGCTAAGCCCTAAGATAGGTGTGGAGAGGCAAAGGGGTGACCCGGGAAGGGGCCACGCTGCTACAGCGAGAGGGAAATGGCCCCTCCTCTGCAGCGAGCTCAGGGTGGGAGCAGGGAGGCATCCGGAGACACCAGACTACCGCCAAGGCCCCTGTTCCACCAAGGAGAAAGGACCAGGCAGAGATGGAGCCTGGGGAATGGTTGCTGGAGCAAGAGAAAACCAGCAGATGATGAGCTGTTCTCCCAGCCTCGGGGGGAGAGGACCCTGAGGCACAGGAGTGGGTGGGAGGCAGTGCGTGGGACAGCATGGCAGGCAGGGGTGGGGCCGGGGGAACTCTGGTGACCTCCTCGCCTGGGGAGACCAAATCCCCTGCCTCGGGCAGCAAGACGTGAACATTCTATCCTGAGCTTCGGCTTTCAGAGCCATTGGAAATGGCAGGTCAGGTCCCTGAGTCGGTACAGAGCTGTTGCGTGGGCCTGTGTGTCCAGGTGAGCTAAGAAGAGCTATGGAGGGCCCAGGGAGTCAGGCCCTCGCCAGAGCACTGGGTGCACTGGTCCAGTGACCACTGACACCCACCACACGTGTGTGTGCCAGACCGGATACGCTATTTGTTTTTATGTGCTAAGCCCAAGGTGGTGTGTGTAGCTAGCAAGAACTAGTCAATGCCCGTTGACTCACTGCATGTATGTGTCTTGTATGTTGAGTCTCAGCACCGTTGCATGAGCTCTGTAAGTCTTCAATTCCTCCCCCTTTCCTAAGCCTGAAACCCACGATGTTGTTAGGATAGTAGACGTTGCCACACGTTTCTCATGAACTGTCTGTTGTCGTCTCTCCAGGTGCTACCCGTGGCATGCCTAAACCCAGAGCCGAAAGAGGAGTAACTTACAAGCGGCCAAGGCCGCGTCCTCTGGAGCCCAGGGCTTGGTGGTGAGCCGAGAGGGCCGCCGGGTGTCCAGCCAGGCACCATGGAGAGGATCAGCGCCTTCTTCAGCTCCATGTGGGACACCATCTTGGTCAAACACCAGGAGGGCATCTTCAACACCATCTGCCTGGGCATCCTGCTGGGGCTGCCGCTGCTGGTGCTCCTCACCCTCGTCTTCATCTGCTGCCACTGCTGCTGGAGCCGGCCAGGCAAGGGCAGCCGGCCGCCAGAGCAGAGCCGGGGGAAGAAGAAGAGGAGGAAGAAGGACGAGGAAGACCTCTGGATCTCAGCGCAGCCCAAGCTCCTGCAGATGGAGAAGAGGCCGTCTCTGCCCGTCTAGGTAGGCAGGACGCCGGCCTGTCCTCCCTCTGGGGCTGAGCCGCCTTCCAGCCGCACAGAGACAGCCCAGAGGACACCCTCCTGTCCAGAGTTAACCGCTCCACCCAGGAACAGACCTCAGACTGCATTCCCAGCTGGCACTCCCAGGGGCACACGCGGGCGATTCTTGGGCACCGTCTTGGCAGCCGCGTGTCCCTAGCAATGAACGCGCTTTTCCGCACTTCCAGGCACGTCTTCCGTCCGTCGCTGGCATACCCCAGGCTCAACGCACAAGGAACATTGATCCACCCATCCAGATACGGCTCCCAGTCGGACACACACACACACACACGCCCATCTAGGTGACAGGTACGAGGGAGAGTACGCTCTGTTCACCAAATGGCCATGGCACGTGCCCTTTGGGCAAGGCAGGACATTACCCACACTTGCAAAAAAAAATATGTCACAGGAGGGCCGGGCCAGATCGAGGCACGTCCTCACAACTGCACAACCAGGCAAGGGCCTCGTGCACTGTGTACTCCATACACCACTCAGGTTAGAGGCGCTTGCTTTCCTGGTCCTGTGCCTGCGTGGCCTTTGACTGGAAGGACTCTGGGACATTGCAACCCCTGCGTGTACTGATGCACACACGCCAAGCTCCTGTGCTCCGACCCTGCTCTACCGGCGTGGCAAAGGGTAAAGCAAGATGGCTCAAAATTCTCTGAAAGTTCTTTTCTTGCAGCTCACAACTAGGTCCTCATTACCACTGAGAGGTATTTAACGTGCTAGGAGCCCTCTGTCGAGATGCTGCCCCCACAGCCATGCAGCTGGGTGCCTTTTCTTAGCATGAACACACAGATCTTGGCGGTGACTACTGGCAAACCACAGAAGCCTCTCACACACTTGAGTGGCTGCGATTGTGACCCTGTGCGGTGCAGGCGTCACGGTTGGAAAGGGGCAGGGGATGCTGCACCTGAGCTGAGTAGCACCTGTGTGAGCAGAGGTTTTCAGCAGGAAGGGAACCAAGACAGTGACCAGTGGAGTCTCCCAGACGGCACTGGGAATGATTTGTGCTGGGTGTGCGCTGTGTTGCAGGAGGGAAGCAGAAGGAACAAGAGTTTATACGAAGGCAGGATGAATTTGTAAAAAGGTTTATTTATTTATTTTGACGCTCAGGCAAGTGCCTTGCACACAGTAGGTACTCAACTGCAGTTGCTGTTGATGCAATGATGTTAAGGGTGTGCTCCTAATACCTCACCACGTCCCCCAAGTGACCTTCTCCTCCCGGAACGCCCACTACCTGCTGCCGTGGACAGACCCGGCGTTAACATGCCACAGGACAGGACCCACAGAAGTGAGGGGCAGCCGGCCTACGGGCCCTGAGGTACGCGAGGACTTGCAAACAGGGAGTCACAGAGAGCGTCCCCACCAGGCTGGGGCTGGGAGGTTAGCCCACCTGTACGACAAACCGGTTGGCATCCTGACCACACCCCAAAGCTGGCCGGTTTCCCACTTGGAAGCAGGATGTGCGTCCAAAGGTTCACTGTCAATGTCCCGAGAGGTCTCTTGAACAGTTTCCCCACAGAAGAGGTTCTAAACGGTGGCAGGTCCTTTGTCGAGGAGCCTGGCCGAGCCACAGACCGAGTCCCCCAACGCTGTGCTAATGGGGAGATGTGCCAGGTCACTCCCGGGGCCCCCGGGACTCGCCTGCCCTCCAGGTGTTCTCCAGGCCCGTGGAGCAGGGGTGTCTGCTGGTGCCTCTTGCCCCAGGGCCTCGTAGCATGGGACCCTGGGAGGCACAGATCAAGCCGGCATGTATTTAAGAGCCAGTCATGTTCTCCCTCCCCTCGGTGGCCCGAATTCCATGGGCACTCAGGCGCACCACCACGCATAAAAACCCTTAGACCGCGGAAAGAAACACCCTGATTGCTGTGTGGCACCCGGCTAACCCTTCCCTTCACAGGCTGACAAGTCACATCCCCACTCCCTCTGCACTGCTGCCCTTCCTGTCCCCAGCTCTCTGCACCCCAACAGTGGACGGCTGGGGGAGACGTGGAGACTGACAGCCAAGACAGCCGTCCGATATGATCTGGGGCCATACGGGTGATGGTTTCCATGGCAACCAGCTGCCAGTTGGGATTCTGGCAGCAGTCAGTCGTCCTTGCTGTGACAAGGCCTCTGTCTCCGGGCCAAGTGTCCCTGCTGCCCCCTAATTGAATGGACTTGCCCTAGCTCCAGGCATGAAACACACGGACGCTCACTCCTCCTCACCTTGAGAGCCGGGTGGGGTTTGTCCCTTCCCTACCCCTCCCCACCCCCCTCAGCCTTCATGCATGCCCGGAATGGCACCAGGCACCCGCGGGGCCCTCGTGGTTCTGGTGGGTGAGTGGACGCAGGAGAGGAGCCCGAGGTGACCCTTGGTGTCCTCTCTCCTTTCCACCCAGTTTACTCTCGGCGTCCTGTGCTTCCTCTTCTCCCGGCCCCGGGCCAGCTGCACCCCTGATCCCTCTCCACTTCTCCTCCCACTTCCACTGGCCCCTGGTGGCACCCCGGAGACTGGAGCCAAAACAGGAGGATTCATAGAAGAGGCTTCCCGGGCCAGCACCGGAGGAGCTCACCCCGCCGGATGTCTGGCAGCTTCAGCCTGCCTCTGCCGCCTGCGCCAGGTCTCCAACCGCCTCGCTCTGCGGATCTGCTTTAGAGCTTTCTTGGGGGGAGGGGGAAGGGCGGAACTGATATCAAAGCAGAATGATGTTTGTCAGTATTGTTTTCTGTACAAGTCACACACGAGAAGACTTATTTAAATAAAAGACCTTGGAAACTCAAAGCCGTGCCCAGCTCGTCACTTGCTGGAGTCCCGGACTTTCTCAACAGGTGGCGTCATCCCTCACCCCACACCACTTGGAAATGAAGGGTGCAGCGACTGTGCCGTGGGACAGAGAGATGCAGCCCCACCAGTCACCGCCTTGCCAACCCAGTCACAGCTCAGAGACCAGGGATGTGGCTTCTCACCCGTTTGCAAAGTGGATGTGGAAACCAAGGCCCTCAGAGGCGCTGGCTTTGGAAAAACACGAGGAGGTTCCTGGTACCACCCAGAGGACTTGTCCTTCGATGAGGATGGTCATTGGCCTCGTCTTTTTCTTTTAAGATGTATGTGCAAGAGGGAGAGAGGGAGAAGTCCTCTGTCTGCTGGGTCACTCCCCAAATGGCCACAACAGCCAGGCGGAAGCCAGGAGTTAGGTCCACCACATGTTGCCGCAGGGGCCCAAGCACCTGGCCTTTCGCTGCTGCCTTCCTGTGTGCATTAACAGAGCCGAATCCGGAGCAGAGTCACCAGGACTCAACCCAGCACGCCCACGTGGATGTCAGTGTTCCGAGCAGCGACTTCACCCAGTGCCTCAATCGCTGACCCCAGCCAAGGGCAAAACCAAAAACCTAAGTAGAAGCAGACTCCCGTGTTCAGCGTGGTGTTGGGATGGGGGGGGCTCCAAAGCCTCTACAGTGGCCACAAGACATGGAGATGGATAAAGTGGTATCATATAGATGGTGAGCCGCACTGTGTGTGTGTGCAAAATTGGATTCCTCCAAGCTGACCATAAGAGGTGCACTAGTTATAAAGTAAAATTATTTAGACTCAATTCCTCTCGATGATGCTAAGCTTGCCACTAAAAGCAGAAGCAGAGCCGTTCTGTGTTATCCACACTGTCCAATGTGGTACCATTAGCCTCCTGTGGCCCAACATATTCATTAAACTGCAGTGTGGCTCAGTGACTTAAAGTTGTGGCCCACAGCGCTGGCATCGCATTTGGGCACCAATTCATGTCCCGGCTGCTCCACTATCAATCGAGCTCCCTGCTAACGCACCTGGGAAGGCAGTGGAAGATGGCTCAAGTCTTTGGACCCCTGCACCATGTGGGAGACCTGGATGAAGCTCCTGGCTCCTGGCTCCTGGCTCCTGGCTCCTGCCTGGCCCAGCTCTGGCCAGCTGGGGCGTGAACCAGCAGATGACTGCGTTTAAGGAAAGCTTAGGAAGTAAAGCCTACAGCACATGGGCTCCCGTTTGCCCTGGGGAAGGCCTTTTTCTGCCTGTGCCAGTAGATCCCTGGGCCCCTTCCTATCAGCACACACCTGTGACAGCTGAGGGCAGAGGCTCTTTGTCCATTTCCGGGTCATTCCTCTAGGATATTCCCAAACACTGCAGGATAGAGGAGGACACATCGTCCCGAACCCCCAAGGGAGGGAAGCAGCTGCCACACACCTGAGGGCACGCCACAGCTAAGTGTCCCTAGGCTCAGCCCTGACTTTAGGCTCTGGTTTGGACAATGCCATCCAGCCACTGGCATCCTCAGCTCACCTGACAGTACTCTGGGCTGGCCCCTTGCCCTTTAACCTCAGTGTCAGTCCCCAATTCAAAGCCATGGGATTACAACGATGAAGAAAGAAGCCCTGTCCCCAGCCAGCTGTGTCGCGAGTGGAACTGTTGACTCCAAGCACCTGTGTGGGCAGCCCTGCGGCCTCTTGCCCAGGAACGGCCTTTCTGGGTCCATCTGGCCCCTCCTGGGGCTGCCTATTCCATTAACATCTGGGACCAGCACAAGCACACCGGGACCAGTTGGGTAGAGTTGTCTGGCAAGCGCTCACACGGCCCGGAAGCGGAGCACAGCCGAGCAAACAGACCATCGCAATGTGCCATGGCCATTGCTTCCTTACAGGAGTGCTGCAGGCTGCAGGGAGACCCCAGGGAGCTGAGCGCTGGGCACCATTCGCGAAGTCTGCCATGTGGAGGTCTCCCTGGAGCTGTGATACAGGCATTGAAGTGGAACATTGACACCAACAGGAGTGACTCTCTAGCCTCCGAGTGCTGTGTGCACAGACTCAGGTCTAGCACCCTCCCAACCCTAAAGCTCACTCCAACCCCCACTCATTCTGTAAGCAAGACCCCTGATTTCGTCTCTCTGCAAAGACTCATCTGAAAGGTGGAGCCCTTGATAGTCCCTGTGTCGCAGGGATCTGACGGTGAAATGGAGGAATACACACAACGCGCTCAGCACAGTGCCTGGCACATAGTCTTTGCTCAGTGCACGCTACTGGCTGTTCCTAAGGGAGAAGGAGACTCGTCAGAGTCGAGGTGAAAGGCCTTCCTAGAAGGCAGCAGTTCGTAGTCATGACGCAGAAGGGTCAAATGAGATAGGAATTGGAACAATTTGCATTTTCTTTCCTTCTCCATGAAACGTGTTCCCTAATTGCAACACGTACCGCACTGTCAGGATTACCAATATCTACGAATGAAGGTCTCTCAACGAGCAGGACCTGTCCCCTCTTCCCACAACCAAGCCACGCTTGCACGACAGTGCCACCTGGTGGCCAGAAGAGAGAGTCTGAATCTTTGTTTCCACCTTCCAGCGGGCACTTCAACTCAGCCTTGACTTGTGCTCAAACTCAATGTGCCAGAGTCACAGTGTCTCACGTGCTCCTCCCAGATCGGTCAGTGTCAGCACTGCCATGCCTGTTTCACAGAGGGGCATCTGCATAACCGAAAGTCTTCATTGCTACAAACACAGTTGTGGCCAAGTGTTTCAGATGCAGCCTTGCTGTCTCTGGGAAAGCTTCCTTGGCCATCCTAGGCCTCCCTGTCACGGTGAGACCCGGCCACATTGCCATGGTGTGTGGTCCGCATTCCTGGTTCTCCGACCCCAGGAGAAGTCGCCTGTATGAGGCTAGAATCATAGCTGTCACGTTCACTATTATGTCTTCCAGTATCTGTCATGGAACTTGACACATGCTGTATGCTCACTAAATGTGTTGATTGGCAGGAGGGTGGGGTGGTGGGTGGGGGGTGGATAATCACTGCTCTGTTTCTTAAAAGTGGGATTTTCTGATGCTTCCCTGCCCATCTGGCTGATTCATTAAGTCCAGGAAGCCAGACAACCTGCCCTGCAAACAAGCACTCGAGGTAAATACAGGCGGCCCCTGAGCCACACCTTGAAATGCAGCATTGAGATATTCAAAACACACAAGACTGCTGCAGTCTAATGCACTCACAAAAACCACTGCACAGGACACAGCCCCGCAGGCGTGCAAGGCATGCGCCACACTGAAGGTTCCAGCAGGCACTGTGCTACAGAGACCGGTTTAACCACACATAACGCGGTTCTCCCAAACTGACTGCACATGAAATCTTTTAGTCAATCCGAGGGACAGGGATTCTGGGGGACCCTAACTGGGAAATACTGCTGGGGGCTTGTGCGTTCCTCCCGCCTCCCACTGCCTGCAGCTACATCAACATCACCCAAGGAAACCCTTTCTGAAATGCCCACAGATTCTCCTTGACCTTCACCTAAGTCTCTCTCACTCTTCCCTTCCCTTTCACCGCCTTGTGAACCATAGCAATCCCGGTGGTGGCAATTGATAGCAAAAATATCTTAGAACTGGTTATAGATAGATATCTATCAAGGGAAAAAAGGGAAAGATACATCAAAAATGGTAATGAAACTGTGAAGGCTGAAGATCCAAGTCACGCTCTTGCCAGCCCACATACGGAGCTCTGTCACTATCCCATCCCCACTTTGTGAGTGAAGAGAATGCGGCCGGGGCGGTCAGCCAGCTCACCTGGTTCTGCAGGGGAAGCCCCAGCCCAGTGCTGCTGTCACCACGCACCCTGACCCTGCCCAGCCCACTGAGCCTGGCGCTCAAAGACTTGAGCTTGCATCAGCACCTCCTTCGCACCTGACACGTTGAACACAGCCCAGAGTCGTGCCCTGAGCCCCTGCAGTGCCCCTGTGTCTCCCAGGTGTCCCGCAGCAAGCCCCCTCCGCCGCCTTACCCTTCTCTCATGAAAGCGCATCTTCCTCACTCACCCAAATAAACAAAATGTTTTCATTTTGTTTCCTTGTTCTACTTCAATTACAACACTGCAGGATGATTTTCTTCTATTTTTGTCCTTGTAAGTGCACTGAAATTCATCTATTTTACAGACCAAACAGGTTTTCACGGGCTAACCTGGGAACCTAATTTCTCTTTTTTCCCCAGAAACCTTTTACTTAAGGTATACAGACTTAATGCATTTCATAAATACAGCTTTAGGAACATAGTGATTCTTCCACCCTACCCACCCTCCAACTGCACTCCCACCCTTCTTCCTCCTCCCTCTCCTATTCCCATTCTTATTTTCTTTTTTTTTTTTAAACTTTTTTTTTTTTGGACAGGCAGAGTGGACAGTGAGAGAGAGAGACAGAGAGAAAGGTCTTCCTTTGCCGTTGGTTCACCCTCCAATGGCCGCCGCTGCGGCCGGCGCACCGCGCTGATCCGATGGCAGGAGCCAGGAGCCAGGTGCTTCTCCTGGTCTCCCATGGGGTGCAGGGCCCAAGCACCTGGGCCATCCTCCACTGCACTCCCTGGCCACAGCAGAGGGCTGGCCTGGAAGAGGGGCAACCGGGACAGAATCCGGCGCCCCGACCGGGACTAGAACCCGGTGTGCCGGCGCCGCAAGGTGGAGGATTAGCCTATTGAGCCACGGCGCCGGCTCCCATTCTTATTTTCACTAAGGTCTATTTTTAGCTTTATACACAGAAGATTAACTCTACACTAAGTAAAGAGTTCATCAAATAGTGTGGGGGAAAAAAAAACTTCCTCAACTGTTGAGATAAGAAAATCATTGCATTGCATCTTGAAGTGTCAATTTCGCTTCTATAGATGACCTCTGAGGTGCTCTATTAATTATCACAGGTCAGGGAGAACATATGGCTTTTGTCCTTTTGGGACTGGCTTATTTTCTAAGCATGTTTTCCAGTTGCATCCATTTTGTTGCAAATGATAGGATTTCTCTTTTTTATACTGTGTAGTATTCCAAGGTATATATAATTTCTTTATCCAGTCTTCAGTTGACAGACGTTTAGGTTGATTCTGTGTCTTAGCTATTATGATTTGAGCTGCAATACACATGGAAGTGCAGGTAACACTTGCACACGCTGATTTCATTTCCACTGGGTGAATTCCCAGGAGTGGGATGGCTGGGTCATGTGCTAGGTCAAACGCTCTCAGGGAATCGGGGAGCGCTGTGTGGAGCTGCCCCTAGTGACTGGGCAGGGGCCTGGCCACATCCTGCACCCTCCCACGCAGCCATGGTGTGTTCACAGTCCCAGCACGCAGGGCTCCCAGAGACACGAGCACCCAGCCCCTAGCAATGCTCCCAGCCAGACCCAGGCGTCTCCTCTCGGCTGATTGCTGGGTGCACAGACCTGAACTGTTGCAGCTGTTACATATGCCCAAAATGGCACCTTCCTGCTCTGGGCTGGCTACAGGACCCCAGTGCCGGGTGGCTGGGAGAGAGGACATGCCCCGCTTTTTCCTCTAGGTTGGGAGGTGCAGTGTCCCCCACAGGGCTCCAAGCTGCACTCACGCCAGGCTCTTCCCACAGCTTTATCACAGTGGCGTGGGCTCTGCAGTCTGCTCTCACCTCCCTCTCCAACGCTGGTGCCGAGGTGCTGGGCTGCTGGGGTCCTGGGTTGTGGGCATCCGCACGCTCCACGTGGGTCCACGGTGTCCCCCTAATTTGTGTGGAGCGTCCTCCCTACCTCTTCCCTGAGAGTGCACTCTCTCCACTTTAACTCTTCCCCTAGACTAGAGCAGTCAGCCCCCTCCCCATTCCACCACCTTGGTATTCTCCCTCGTTTGGAACCCAATTTCTTTATATGGTGTTTCCACCGGAGCTCAGAGCGTCTCCCCATAGAACAACTAACAGGAGGACTTTGGGAAGAGTAAGAAAATCAGGTCGTTCTCTCCAGGGACACCTCCCTCCCCTGTCATCACATGGACACCCCCAGCCCCTGTCTCGTCACCCAGCCCAGGACCAGGTCTGGGGCGGAGTCCAGGTCTCACTAGGGAGTTCTTCCAGGTAGTTCTTACTGACTTGTGCCTCCGTCCAGCAGCAACACTGCTTGAGCAGCCACCAAGTGCGGGCAGGATGCTGAGCTGGACCCCGCGTCACTCCCAGACGACGGAACTCAAGCAGGAAGAAGAGTGAGGACAACCCAGAATTCCCCTTTGTCAGAGGACAAGTGGGGCCCTGGAAGTGAGAGTCCCGGTGGGACAGCACTGCCATCTGCTGGCCAGGGCGAGTATAGCAGGCCTCTTGCAGCGGGCTGCCAATCCCAGCCGCACTGGGATTGACGAGAACTCCACCCTGATCCTTCCCACTGTCCGGGTGCAGGGCTTAGGGCAGCGACTTGGAAATTATTTCCGTGGGGAACCACTTCCAGCAGCTGATGAGATTTCCAGGAGCGTCTCGCTGCATATTTGCTTCTCCTTCTGCAAGCTCTGTCTCCATTTTCACCTTGCCCTGTCGACCGTCTCGGTCTTATTTCATCCATCACACTGTGTCCTTGGCCTTCCTAGAACACAACTTCTTGAGTCACTGTCTGCTTGTTTGGACAGCACTTAGTTGGGGGAAGAGTGGACAGAGGCAGAGAGGCGTCCCATCCATTTGTTCACTCCCCAAAAGCCCAAAACACCCAGGGCGGGGCCAGGTCGAAGCCAGGAGCCTGAAGCTCCACCCAGGTCTCCCATACGACCGGCAGGGACCTAAGTCCTTGAGTCATCACTGGTCGCCTTCCAGAGTGTGCGTTAGGGCACTGTCCCAATAGCTATGCCAAACGCTGCCCCTGCCTCCACCCCAAGTCATCCTTTATCTTTGTCCCTGGCTCCTTAAGCACTGGCTGGATTCTATACTCTTTGGATTCTTGAGAATTCTAAGTTTAAATGGAGTTCTCGACCTCATGGACAAATATAAACTCTGAGATCCCATTCCCAGAGGAAGCCACTATCAAAACCAACCAGCTCTGGGGCCAGCGTTGTGTCTTAGCAAGTAAAGCTAAAACCTGTGACACTGGCATCCCACACGGGCACCGGTTCACATCCCAGCTGCTCCACTTCTGATCCAGCTCCCTGCTAATGCACCTGGGAAAAGCAGTGGAAGACGGCCCAAGTCCCTGGGCCCCTGCACCCATGTGGGAGACCCAGAAGAAGCTCCTGACTCCTGGATTTGGCCTGGCCCAGCCCTGGCCGTTGTGGCCATCTGGGGAGGTGAACCAGCAGTGAACCCCTCTCCCCCTCTCTCCCTGTCTCTCTCTCCTCCTCTTCTCTGTAACTCTGACTTCCAGGCCCTCTCTGTGACCACTACCCTTGCTACAGGCCAAGAAACCCCTTCCCTCTTGTCAGAACTGCAATGGCCCTAAACAGTCTGGGAGTCTCCATTCTCTTCACAAGGTGTCACGATGCCCCCACCCTCACCCCCCTACCCTGCCCCCGGACTGACATTTGCAGAACACTGCCCGGCCGTGTCCTGCGCGGTCCATAGCCTCTGAGTTCTCCCCAGCAGAGCGCTCTCAAACCCTGGCTGCTGCTGGGGTCAGTGGACCCTGGGGACACGCTCGGTCTGCTGCCATCACAGATCCCTCGGCAGCCCCGCCCAGACTGCTGAGTCAGCACACCCAGCGCTGGGGCCCAGCAGTCTATGCGCTAACAAGCGTGTTTGATGAACACCCCCAATCCTGCGTCAGGCCCCCCGGGTAGGGGCTGGATCCACTTTGCCAAGGAGGGTGCTGCTTGGCCACAGAGCCTGACGCTCCTGGGAGGAGCCCACGGCTTCTGAACCTCAGGCAACTAGAACACCCTGGCAGGCGAGGAGGGGCCTGGGAACCGGAAGCTGTGCAAAGGGACAAGGCAATCGGCTCGGGCAAAGCCACAAGACTGGAGGAACCCGGCAGGTGTCGCTGCAAGTGTCTCCCACTCGGAGGGGCCCCGGGTGGAACACTGGCCCTCCTGAGGCCGTCTTGCTTATCGATATTTCCAAAATGGATACGCCGTGTGGGCTGCTTCCCCATATTCAGAGAAGAATTCTGAATCCTGGCTCAAACGGGCCAGGCAGCATGGCAAGTTTTTAAGCTTTTTATTTAGTGAGAGAAATGCATGGGAGTGTGAGGGCTTTAATCTAAGGGAGAAAGAAAAGTCCAGAAATTAAGTTGGGGTCCATACCGAGCAGAGAGCAGGCCAGGAGCCACGTGCAGCGAGTGTTTGGTGTTGAGCAGCCATGAGCAGCTCAGCACAAGCAGTGAGGGGAAGGCGAAGAGGGCGGGGCACCAAGGGAGAATCGGGCCCAGCCCACCACCATGCTCCAGGCCTTTTATCCTCTTCCAGAGGGGTGTGGTTAATTATTCTGATTGGCAGGTGGGCGCACAGGTGTGGCCAGGTAGGGGCGTGAGATCACACAGCGGCGTGGTGAAGGTGTGGTCTTCCAGCTCGCAAATCGAGTTCATTTTATCCTACATACTGCCGGCACCTGCACGTCCTGATCCCCCTTAGCTCTTCTCCCACGGCTCCTGTCACTTCTTGCCACGCGACACTTTTTTTTTTTAAACAGGCAGAGTGGACAGTGAGAGAGACAGAGAGAAAGGTCTTCCTTTGCCATTGGTTCACCCTCCAATGGCCACTGTGGCCGGCGCACCGCGCTGATCCGAAGCCTGGAGCCAGGTGCTTTTCCTGGTCTCCCATGGGGTGCAGGGCCCAAGCATTTGGGCCATCCTCCACTGCACTCCCGGGCCACAGCAGAGAGCTGGCCTGGAAGAGGGGCAACCAGGACAGAATCCGGCACCCCGACCGGGACTAGAACCCGGTGTGCCAGCGCCACTAGGTGGAGGATTAGCCTAGTGAGCCGCAGCGCTGGCCCAACGACATTTGCTTGTTACTGTCAGTCTCCCCTACGAGAACATAAGCACCAAGGCAGGACCGGCTCACTTGCGTGGCACTGGCACTTGGAACAGAACCCAGCGCGTAATGAGCGACTGAGAGACTGCGAGAGTAAATGCAGTGACCCTGTCCGGCTTGCTCACCTCCGCGGTTCACCTGTCTCCCCCGTGCCCCGCACGCCACCTGATACCAAGCAACAGACACTTAATAAACTGCGAATCAACGAACAGCGCACAAGCCCCGACACAAACCCCATACTTCATTCAAACCACTCATTACCAGATGCAGCAGTGGGCGCGACTGCTCGGTGTGCCCGTCTGGGGAGCGGGCAGAGGGAGAGGCGATCCCGGCAGTGGAAAGGCTGTTTCCAGAGTGCGGCTTGGCGTTGGCTCAGAAGTCAAAGCCTGGAGACGCGAGGCAATGAACTAGACCCCAGCCCCGGAGGGGCCTGCCTTCCCGCTCACCTGATCCGGTGCATTGCAAGGGTGATTAGTGGCCATCATACACGAAGCCAAAGCCACCTGCATTCCATTACCATGCACACCTGCGTGCCTTCGCGTGAACTTGGGTTACATTTAGGGTTCAAGTGCGCTTCAGCGGCGAAAAAAAGTCACACACGGCGAGTTTGTTTAAGTGGTTTATTATTTTTGTTCTTGAGTAGCAGTTTGAGTGACTTCACTGGTCACTGACTCAGCTACAGAAACCTTCCACAATGATAGGAAATAAGCAGAAAAAAGGAGCTGATCTTGCCTGGGGGCCTTCAAACAGGAAAGCCTCCTGGGGCTGGCTGGGCAGCTCCGGCGACCCCAGGGGCGAACCTCACGATGCTGAGTGGCCCAGGTCGGGGCGCCCAGGGCTGGGAGCCGTCCCGGGAAGGACGGAGGCTGGGGGCTGATGGGAGTGAATGGCAAGGAAGCCAAGAGTCTGCAAGAGTCTGCAGAGGGCCCAGTCATCAAGAGAGCGGAACCCAGCGAGAAGTTATTCACAAGCTGTGCAGATCTGTGAGCGCGATTACACCAGGGGCTGGAAAGGGGGCAGCGACATGGGAGCTCTGGTGTCCAGCCTGCCGGATCCTGCAATGTGGCCAGAGGAGCACGCCTTGGCCCCTCCTGGTGCCCCCATTCATTCTTGTCGATCAGCAATTACAACAGCGGGGCAGGGGTTCCACTTGCGTCAGGCTGCGGCAGCCCTGGCTCCCGGGAGTCACACCGACTCTCTGGTGCTGCTTTCCAGAGAGGTTTGTGCGAGAGCAAGCGAGCGAGGCAGGGAGAGAGGGAGGGAGGCAGCCCGGTTCTACAGCTGCCCACGGCGGAGGCACTGGATGACCCGCGGCTCCAGCAAGCTGTCCCTAGCGAGCCGCGCGGCTCCAATGCTGTCTTTCCCATAGACACTGTGCAACCGCTACTGTGTTGTCTGCTCCCTAGTATAGACGGGCCAAGACACTGCGTGATCTGAAGCTTGGAGACGTGACCTCTTCTGCGGGTTACCAGGGATCCCAGAGCCGAGGGACGACGGAGCGACCCTCAAGCCCCCATTCCCCCTTCCCTGCTGCCCACCCGCCCCCAGCTTCCAAAGCCCCAGCCCTGCCAGTCTCCTGCGACGGCCGCTCAGACGGGCCATCACAACATTCTCGTCTTGCCTCCTAGCGTCCGCTTCTTCCTGCCGACCACGCGCTCCTTGCTGTAGCCTTGAGGGCGGATTTTCAGCTCCACGTAAGGAATGGAGAACTCATGTCCTTTCCACGGCTCCCAGTTCACCCCCTACATAAAAAAAAAAAAAATCAAGAAGAGGCTCCTGGGAGGCGAGGAGGGTGGCTCATGGAACACACGAGAATCTTGGTTTAGCAGTGAAAGCAGCCCCTCCCAGCTAAGGGGAAGCCAGAGGCACCTGCGCCTGGGCCTAGTGATAGACGGTGAGGGCCGGACCCGGGAGCGGGCGCCCTCTGCTGGGCAGTCAGGCCTAGGCAGGCTAAGGACTCAAAACCGAGCTAGGAGCACAGAGGGGCCCAGGAACAGGGTGTGAGGCCAGGAGGTAGGTGGGTGAGGTCCGAGCAGCGGCAAAGACAAGACGGGGTCAACCTGGCCAGCAAGAAACAAATTAGCTTTGCCTCCCTCGTTTCCCTTCCAAGAACGTGAAGTCAGAAATAAACATATTAATTGGCCAACGGTGTAAAATCAGTTTCAATTTAGGCTGTTTAGATATTAGCTCTGGAGTAACAAATGGCCCGCTGCAAACTAAATTTCCTTTTATGTCTTCTGACTGGTGAGTGCAATAATATTTAATTCACTTAATAACCTTGCAACCTGGCCAATAAAGAGCCCCAGCGACCAATTTTATGTATTTTAATTTGTGAGGTAAATAATAAACAAGAAGCTAAATGCCTTGCAGACTGTGAAAAGCACATTAGCCAGATGAATGTCTTTTATTAGTAAATATGGGGATGGTTTAGCACGTGCAGGCTGCTCGTTTCAAATATCGGATCTGTGATCGCCGGCTCACGGCTGCCACCATGATTTGTGGGCCCACCTCCCGGTGGCTTCCCCGGAAGAAACGTCTTCTTGCCATTGAAATGTCACCTAAGGACTGGGAGGCCCCCACTGCCTGGTCAGGGTCCACGTCATGCAGACGTAGCTGGACTTCCGAAGTGCTAACATCTACAGGAATACTGGTACGTGGTGAGGTCAGGGAGCGGCGCCTTCCAGGAAGTGAGGGCAGAACCCCAGGCTGTGAACTCTGAGAGCTGGGGGCGGGGAACAAAGACATGGTTTCCAAGGAGCTGCGAGGGAGCAGGAGCCGCCCTGAGCAGGCCGAGGGCCGGACGGCACACAGGGGCTGCGGAGGTCCGAGAAGTCGTAGACAGGAGAGCTTCTGAGCGAGGGAGGGGCGAGAGCCTGCACACAAGCCTGGAGAGAGGGGCTGGTGGAACCCGCTGCTCTGGGGGGGCCCGGGTGGGGGCGCTCTGGGTGCCGTGGAGACAAGGCTGGGTCTGACCTAAGGAAGAGAGACCTGGCTCCCTGGTGATCCGAGGGCTTGAGAGAACCAGGAGGCATCTTCAAAACGTCCTCCGGAAAAGGAATCGAGATGTGAGAGTTTGAGGAGCAAAAGAAATTTGGAAATCCACGCACACTGTTTTCATGGCGTGCATTCTCCACGAAACTGTTGAAGAGCCGAGCTGGACTAGAACAACTAGTGAGGACCACGCAGCGGTCTGGCAGGACTGAATGTTTGCCTCTCCTCCCAAATTCTCCCCGAAAGCCCTGGCTCCCGATGTGGGCACTAGCAGGTGAGACCTCCAGAGAAGTTAGATTTAGAGGGGGTCACGGGGTGCAGCACCGCCCTCCGTGGGATAGGGTCCAACTAGTAAGAGGGAAAGACCAGGGCTCCCTCTGTCTTCCAGACACAGCGGAGGACAGCTGGCCGTGAGACAGGGCAGGAGTCCCCACCAAGAACTGCACCTGCAGGCACCTGATCTTGGACTGCCCAGCCTCCAGGCACTGTCACTCAAGCTGCCCAGTCTGAGCTGACTGACACAGCATGTCAACGGGTTAGGCAAGATGGTGGCGTCTGACCTACATCACAGGTCTTTACACAGCAATGGCAGCCCAAGCTTCCCACCCCGCTGGCACCAAGGGAGGGAGCAGCCATGGGGGAAACGCCAAGTGGGCAGGGATGGCCGTGACCCCAAGGCTGCAGAGTTATGGAGATGCTCTCCCACCACCCTGACTGGAAGCCAAGGAAGGAGGGGGACCCCCAGACTGGCCTGGAAGGTGTCCTTTGTGAGCTAACTACGGGCGGAGCTGAGACAGAAACAAGTGGCACCTGTCGCCTACCTCACTGTGCTTGGTCTCCCCGTATTTGCCGTTGGGGTTGGCCAAGTGGCAGTTCTTGTACCACCAGCCGCCATGATGTGTCAGGGCACAGTTGCTGAGGGCGATGTCATTATCTCTGTCGAAGGTTGTAAACTTCCACCCGTTGTGGTAAGTAAGAGCGTCCCCTGCAGGAGAGAAGAGACAGGTGCAGGAGCCCGTGCGACTTCAGCCCCTGGGGAATGATCACTCGCAGGACGGAAAGCCAGCTTGGTGTGAAAATGCCAAGGATCCACTGAGCCACGTGTCAGATTTCCAAAACCGATTGTGTGGACTCTGCCCACAGCCCCTGACTGCCCCTCGCACGAGAGAACCACTCTCCTGTGCCCCTGTCTCTGCCGTGGCCCAAACCTCCTGCCCCCAGCCCGGCCCTGGACTCTCTGAATCCCGACTGGCCATCCCTCTGTGCCCCTTTATCCGCAGGTCACTCACCTACACCCCTACCTCTCTGCTCCTGCGGCTGACACCGAAGCCCCTTATCTCTCTTGGCCACCAGGCATCCTCTCCTTGTGGGGTGGGCAAGCTCACCCCCCATGGGGTTCTTCTCTGTCCCCCATCAGTCAACTCCTAACCATCCCGACACCACTCCCCTGGAAGATTCCTCCAGCCACCCTCCACTCGCCCCCTAACACACACACACCTGCACTTGTAGACCCTCATGCTGATGAGCTCACGCTGTGAGTGTTTCGTCACATCCTGTCTGGAGTCTGATTTCACTTCCGTGTCTCCCCTCTCCCTGCATAGCTGTCATCCTCCATAAGCTCGCGTTTAGATTCAGCTTAGAAGAGGCAATAAGGGCCACGTGGGTCAGACACTAACCAAGCTCTGCTCCTGCCCTAGCGACCCTTCCACTGACATGCAACCTCTGAGTTTGCCCAGCAAAGTCTCACCTGACCTCACAGCAAACCTGCAGGGGCAAGGAGGTCAGACTCCCGGCACTCAGCAGGGCCCCACAGTCCTCGGACCACAGAACAGGATTCAAATCCTGGTCCTCAGATTCCAAGTCGGGTTATTTTTTGAGACACCAATCCACCTGTGCTTTCCTTCTTTCTTTTTCAGTTTTTAGAAATCTTTAAATTCGGTAATTTGAGAGGCCGAGAGGCAGAAAGAGAGAGAGATCCACTCCCCACCCCCAACACCCCCACTTGTTCTCTCTCCAAAGGCCCACCACAGCCAGAGCTTGGCCCAGGCCGAAGTTAGGAGCTAAGAACTCCATCTAGGTCTCCCACATGGGTGGCAAGGACCCAAGTAACTACTTGGGTCTTCTGCCTCCCAGGGTGTCTACAGGCAGACAGCTGAAGTTGAGAGCAGAGCCGGGACTCAAACCCACGCACTCTGCTGTGGGATGTGGTTGTCTGAACCTGTGTGTGTGTGTCTTTGTGTGTGTGTGTGTGTATTAAAAATAAATCTAAAAAACACAAAGAGCTAACGACACGCCACACAAAGGGAAGGTCCGCCTGGCACTTCCAGCCCTCCAGGCTCCCACAGTGGCTCCATTCAGAAGAGCAAGAATGGACCACGAGGCCTCTGCTGCTCTGACTCCATCCCAGCCAGCTCCCAATCCAGTCAGGGGCAGGCACTCTGTCCCCTTCCTCATCCACAGTTCCTCCTCCCTTCCGTCTCCTGCAGAGTCAACTCCATCCCCAGTGACACCCAGCGCCTCCCTCAGTAACATGCACGTGGCCCACCTCTCACATGCGAAACTGCCAGAGCTGTCCGGTAAGAACTTAGGAGGAGGCTTTCTTAAAGGTAACCTTCGTGGTTACCCAACCTTGGGCACTGGGTAACGCAGCCTTTGGCCAGGGTAAGGGAAGGCGCTTCCCTGCAGGTGGATTTCCTACCTTCCAGAGACGGAAGCCATCCTAATGTTCAGAGTGCACACGGCGAGAGTATCCAAGAATCCAAAGTCAGCCGGCCCTCGCTGAGACGCTATTAGCATTCTGACTTAGGCAGCTTATCTCCCTAGGTAGGGCAAAGCAGCCAAGCCAACGAGCTTAGACTTCCTCCATGCCGTTTTAGGGGGAACTCTGATGGGAGGTATCACCTGTAGCATGAAGGCTTTGCGTGGGATACTGGTTCTTCTGGCGCAGGTGACTGGAGGGGTCTCAACCCAAGCACACTCAGGGCCATCACCTGTCTCATCAAACTGTGACTCCAAGGCGTACTCTCCTCCTCCAGTACCTCACGGGACAGGGAAGGTGGCGCAAGCAAGTGCAGCAGCCGGGACTGGAAGAAGCCCTTACCATATCCCATCTAAGACACAGGCCAGGTGCCTGTACCGTGAAGATCTTTTGCCTTAGGACTAGGAGTGGGCAAGCAACAGAGGCACTTGTGCCATTTCTGGCTTTCGCTTTCGTCCAGGTACCCACTCATTTATTTCTCTATCTAAATGCCTGAATTTAAGAATCTACTTCAAAACAAGGAAGGCACCAGCATTTGGAGCAGAACAATCCCTCAGCTTGGACATCTGGTACCCCTGGCCCAGCCCACTAACTGCTGGTGGGGTTCCCCTGCCACGTTTCCAATCCTTCCAGGTGCTGGGTACTGCAAAGTCCTATAGGGTGGGACTTGAAATCAGCTGGGACTGATTGGTCAGCCCTAGAAGTCACCCTGCAGCAAGTGAGCATGTCAGTGTTTTCACGTTAGCTGCTCAATACCTGAGCGGCTGCGTGAGGGCAGCGCTCCCAGCAGCCTGCCTGCTCCCCTGCCGGACTCACAATCAGACGCCAACAGCACCCTCTGACCTTGCTGGAGACGCCCTCAGGAAGCAGTGACGGGCTGCCATGGAAGTCAGAAGGTGGGGGCCCACCTGGGCAGTGTGCGCAGGGACAAGTCTAAAACCACACCCCCCACCAGGGCCACGCGCCTCTCTGTTCTCATCAGCTCTGGGGAGGCAGAAAGGGAGAGGGAAAAGTCCACCTTCCACTTGAACACCACGTCCTCTAAACAGTGCCTCGTTTAGGACATGAGTAGCCAGAAGCTTCCTAGATTTTAAAACCCTCCTGGTAGAGCCATCAGCATATATGAGGGAAGTGAACGCTCTGTGAGCCCGAACCACAGCGATTCAGAAGTTAGAAGTAGAAAAGACTGCACACACAGAAGACTCGATTCCCGCCCTAACACTGTGTGATCTGAACGTCTCCCAAGGCTTCCTATTAAAAATCCGCCACTGACCTCCACTGTTGGCCCAAACAACCTCCGGACAGGAATTAGCCTGATCACAGTCAAAATGCAAATAGGGTGCCTGGGAGGGGGCTCCCTGTCACTCACCCTCCACTTGCCTCAGCGCCTTTCCTGAGCCATGTTGAGACAGGCCTCCGAAAAGGAAAATGTGCCTGGTGAGAAAGGGGAGGGGGCAGAGGGCCCGAGTACCTGGGCCCCTGCACCCACATGGGAGACCAGGATGGAGCTTCGGGCTCCTGGCTTCAGCCTGGCCCAGCCCCACCTGTTGCTGCCTAGGGAGGGAGCTAGCAGATGGAAGACACCTCTCTCTGTCTCTGTCTCTGTCTCTCTCTCTCTCTCTCTCTCCTCTGCAACACTGACTTTCAGACTGAAAAACAAATCTTTATTTTAAGAAAAATAGGCAAAAGTCAAACTATAGATTTATGTGCTACGGTTTAAAATGCATAAATAGAGGTTTTAAATCGATAGTGTCAAACCAACAACCCTTCAATATGATCTTCACCATGGTAACTCTAGTATTTTGGCCACGCTGCGTAATTCTGTTCTTCGCCTTCAGAACTGAACACACCATCGACTGGTTATGAGCGAACCCCGGCTTTCGGCTGACCTGCTTCCGTGCCGTCGGCGTCGGATTCAGTTAAAGAGGCCTGCGCTTCCCGTGGCTGAAATCTGCACTTTCACTTCTCTGGCTTTGTTTCCAGCAAAGCGCCGCGCGCACTTACAGAACAGCACTCACACCATGGTGTGAACAGCGCTGACGAGCTCACTGCTGACGCCCGAGCAGGGGCTTGCAGGCACCATGAGCCCCTGGGAATGCTGCTTCTTCAGCGAAGACTCCTGCGCACCAGCCGGACTGAGGCAGTACAAGAGGAGGGTTTTGGGGGCGATGCTGTGGCATAACCAGTAAAGCTGCCACCTGCAGTGCCGGCATCCCATATGGGTGCCGGTTTGAGTCCCGGCTGCTCCACTTCCAATCCAGCTCTCTGCTGTGGCCTGGGAAAGCAGTGGAAAATGGCCCAAGTGCTTGGGCCCCTGCACCTGCATGGGAGACCCGGAAGAAGCTCCTGGCTCCTGGCTTCGGATGGGCGCAGGTCCTGCCATTGCAGCCAACTGGGGAGTGAACCAGCAGATGGAAGACTCTCTCTCTCTCGCTCTCGCTCTCGCTCTCGCTCTCGCTCTGCCTCACCTTCTCTCTGTGTAACTCTGACTTTCAAATAATTAAATAAAATCTTTAAAAGAGAGAAAGAGTGAGTTCTGACCACAGAAGGAGTCACTGTGTCACCTATACAAAGTTTCCACTGTGACGGCAGCAGAGGACGGCTTTCACTTTTCCACTGTGATGGCAGTCAAGGGCGGCTTTCACTGTTTTGTGCAGCCCCAGCTCCTTGCAGGGAGCAGGCCCTCGATTGTCACTGAGGACACTTGGCCTCCACAAAACACTCCACTCCGAGACCCACGACCCAGACAGCAGAGCAGGACACCCTCGCGGTGCAAACACGTCCGCTTACCTGCTGTGCCTCTGTATTTCCCGACGGTCAGCTTGTAGCGCTCCTTGCTGGAGGCCACTTGGAAGAAGTCGTACACGGCATAGGCAGACTCATTGAGCGTCTGCAGGTCCACTCTCACCTCGTAGCGGGTCGGAGTGCCAGTGGTGAGATTGTGCAGCTTGTCCAGACCTGAAAGCCAGGAAAGGAACTGACCAATCAGCCGGCACGTGAGCCCTCGCCACTGGCGTCTGAGATTTTCAGGTCTAAAAGTCAGTCGACTGAGCCCTTCCCTCCTCTCCTAGCCCGGTGGTTTCTCCTCAGGGAGGCTCACCGTCTCACCCTACACCGTCTTAGGCCCACGCATGCTAACGAGCCCCGTGGAGGGCAGCAGTAAGGGGCGGGCTGTGCCTCCAGGGGCTCCATCTCCCGGACGCAGAAGCAGCTCTGTAGCGCCCTCTCGGTTCACCAAGCAGAAGAGCAGATCAGCTACCCATTCTCAGGTCTCAGAAGAGATTTTGGACCAAGCAAACCACAGACATCACCTACTCTATTAGACACTGAGTATCCCGATTATGATATTTTAATTATTCATGTCCCAGTTGGTGCGTTTGGCGATTTCACTCCCTGTGAACCTCTGCTCCAGAAGCAGCAGAGGGAAAAGGCGGGACATGCCTTAATGCCCGGCACAACCAGCAGGACCGCAGGGGTTGCCAGGACGTCCCCCAACAATGCCCAGAGTCCCAGGCAACCAACTGCCTCCTCCGGTGGTTGCTAAGAAGTTCAGGCTCCAGGGAGCTCCTGCAGAGCTGGGTTAGACACAGCCCAGGAGCCATCAGGACAGGCTACCTTTGCAGAAGCCCAGAACACATGAGAGCCCTCCCACCAACACGGCCCCACCAACGCCCCTCGGGAGACTCCACAGAGTGACCGTCTGTGAGCTGCCCGACCGGCTACCTTGTCTAGGGGCAATCACCCCTAGCAGCCCCGCCCTCCTGACTCCTCAGAGGTCATACCAATCCAAAACTCCTGCATGGGGTCCCCAAAGCCTTCCACGTAGCTCCGCCAACGCTTGAAGAAATCTAGCTGCCCCGTGTTCCGCCTCTGGAAGACCTGGGGGAGAAGACGGGTGCTTCAATCTGACACTGAACAGACTTAACTTAATGGACCATCCCTGTATTTTCCAAGGGCATGCTGGGATACAAGGGGCAACTATGAACCTGCAAAACACCGACTTCCTCCAGTGAGCACGCCTTCTTTCTCTTCCAGAAGTCGGCAGACTAACTATATTGGTTATACCATTTTTAAAAAAAGATTTATTTGCTTATTATTTGAAAGAGAGAGAGAGTTATCTTCCACCTGCTGGTTCACTTCCCAAATGGCTACAATGGCCAGAGAGGACCCACGTCAGAGCCAGGAGCCTGGAACTCCATCTGCGTTCCCCGCACGGCTGGCAGGAGCCAAAGTACCTGGGCCATCTTCTGTAGCCTGCCCAACCACGTTAGCAGGGAGCTGGATCGGGAGCTGAGCAGCTGGGACTGGAGCCAGCATTCCAATGTGGGATGCTAGAGTTGTAAGTGCAGGCCTAACTTACTGTCCCAAAATGCTGGTCCCTGGTTATTCCATCAATAAATGTTCTTTATGTGTGTAGTAGCTTGTGAAGAACTGAAATGTCTAGAAGAAAAGCAGAGACTCTTCCTACACTCAAGAAATTTCAATTCTAGAACCGGGGAGCCTTGGAGAAGTGGCGGCATGACTGCTACTGCTGGACTGTGTAGGGCAGAACATTCCAGAACTCTGCCAACTCCGACCTGTAACTCTGAACATCTCTTCAGCTCAATGGGGCCACGTTATATTTATATGCTATCTTTTCCTCATGTAAGTAGTTTGAATGTAGGAATTATTTTTAATCCACTTATTCCTAATATAGCAATTATTTTAATAATTATGGAGAAAAAAGTTCATCCAACAAAGATTTATTGAGTAACTACTAGGTAAGTGGCATGATGCAAGACAATGTTACAAAATGAATAGACCAGAGGTGGCCTCTGCCTTCATGAAGCTAAATGGTAAATGAAAAAGCCATGAATTAAATAATCAAACAGATAAAGCAGCAATTAAGATTGCGAGTTATGAGGGAAAGACGCAACAGGGAGTGAAGACCTGACCAAGGAGCCAGGAAAGCTCCCCTCGGGAAGCGGCTGGGAATTATGGGATGTGTAAGAGGTCAGCTTAGAGGGTGGCAGTGCAGGATGCTGGGGCGCTGGGGGCTGATGAGGAAGGAGTGGGAAGAGAGGCTACAAAGCTGCGTAGGGTCCGTCCTTGTGGGCTTCACTGGGAATTGTTGAAGAGCCTGGCTCATTGTGAAAGCAGTGGGGTTTCCCGAAGGTTTGTAAGCAGGAAATGATACATTCATATTTACAGCTTGGCCAGATCCTCAACTTCAGCACAGAGAATGGCCAGGGACAAAAGTGCAGGACAGATGATGCGCTAGGGGACCACTGCAGAGTACCAGTGAGAGAGGACGGCAGCTTGGACTGGGGGCTGCCCTGCGGATAGACACAAGTATACAGGAGGGGGGGAGGAGTGCTGTGGTGACAGACAGAAGGTGGACCTGGAAGAGGAGTAAGTCAAGAATGATGCTTGGGTTTGGCTTGCAGACTGATCTCACCGAGCTGTTCCCTGCGATGGGGCAGTCTGAGAAGACAGACTGTGCACGGTGAGCTCCCCTGTGCACATGGCGAGGACAAGCTCGTTCCAAGTCGTCCTGAGGAGTGACGATGACATCCCCACAGCAGAATGTACAGAAAGAGAGACCCAGGGGACCCGCATTGGCGTACAATGGGTTGAGCTACGACCTGCAGCGCCAACATCCAGTATGGGCGCCAGTCCTGGCTGCTCCACTGCCCACATGCCTAGAAAAGCAGTGGAGGATTGCCCAAGTTTTGGGGGCCCTACACCCTTGTGGGTGGACTAGAAGAAGCTCCTGGCTCCTGGTTTAGGCCTGGCACCATCCCAATTGTTGCAACCATTTGAGGAATAAACCAGTGGATGGAAGATCTCTCTCTGTCACTCCTTGTCTCTCTCTGTAACTCTGCCTCTCAAATAAATAAACAAACCTTGAAAGAAGGAAGGAAGGAAGGAAGGAAGGAAGGAAGGAAGGAAGGAGCGAGCGAGCGAGCAGCCATTAACAAAAAGCATGGGCTCATTACAGATAGAGGAGGAACAACAAGAAATGTAGAAGGAACCTGAAAAAATATGGAATCATCGAAGCCACAGATAGAAGGGGTGAGGGCAACAATGTCAAAAACTGATTAGAGGTGCACAGATGTGAGGCCAAAACTGTCCCTAGAATTCAGAGACATGGAAACCGCCAGTGACTCGCACAAGAGCTGTGTTTGTTAGAGGCAGGGCAGAGGCCCAGGGGAACAGGCACAAGAGTGAGCGGGCCGTGAGAAACGGAGACGGAACTGGCACTGTTCCACAGGCGTACGGCTGCTTTCTTTTCAAAAATTTCCCTATCTGGAGAAGGCAGGCAGTTCCAGCCCGAGTAAATTGGATTCCTTAATACGAAGTAAATTTGAAAAGTACCCAAAAGCTAAGCACACCTGTGCACACTGTTGGACTTGGTAATGCGTATAATCCTGTAGGACCTTGACAGACAACCTGAACGGCAGCCCCAGCTGACCTCAGCAAGGGCTCCCACCATCCACAGGCTACAATCGCACCTCTCCCTTGTATTCATTCAAATGCAGAGCCCCAGTACAAAATCTCATCTCCCTCCTTTCCACTTGACTTCACAGCTGTGCCTGCGAGTGGAACAGGCTATTTTGAATTTGGTAAGGTAAACCGCCTGATAGCTTGCCTTCTTTACATCTGTCTCTGGGGAGACGCAGGGAGGGAGGAGAGAACGGTGCTCAGAGCTCACGATGCATTCCTTCTGGGGCCTCCCCTGGCCAGGTCAGCTGGCCCAGAGCTCCTGACCAAGGCACCAATGAGCAGGGGAAAATTCTAGGCTCTGAGTCAGACCACAGCCCTTCCCAGCAGGGGTGGGGAGCCAGCAGCCTCCATTCCTGATCCCTGGCCCATGCAGTGTAGGCGCGGGGGGGGGGGGGGGGGGGGATCTGCCTCCAGGCTGGCTGGCCAGGACTCAGCGAGGCGGTATGTGCAAAACCGCTGTTCATGTGGGAAAGACTGTGGACGTGGTCCTCGCCAACAGGGGCACCCTCCGGTGCCACGCTGCTCTCTCTCCTCTCTCTTCACACGGCCATCTTTTAAAACTGACCCGGTCCTCTCCGGGTTTCCTGCGTACTTCTTCATTCACTCACTTCTAGAACCGTCATTTTTCCAGCATCTGTTGTGTGCTGGCTCCCGGGCAGATACACGTGATGCCATTTGATGGAGCTGAAAGTCCAGAAAAGCAGGCAGCCAGGGCCACACAGCTGTCACTCAGCGGCTGATGCAAGGATAACACACAAACCTCCCTTCATGCAATTAGAACGCTTAAAAACTCAGGAAAAAGCCTAGCATTTCCTAAACTCTGAGGACGTCTTAGTTCCCTAGCAAGGTGCTGTTCCAACCCCTTTCCTGGGACTCTGCCTGTCCCACAGTCCGTGACATCCTAGGGTGGAGGTGGCACCAACGTTTGCTGTCACATCCACTGTGTCAACTCATATTACCACCACAAGGTCAAGCTCAAATCCAGCGCTCCCACCCTAGGACAGGCTCATTACAAAGACCTGTGGGCTCCATCGCCAATCAGTGGACACAGAGCCCTCGCTGGACGGGGCCTCTCCAGCTGACTTTATATACATACTGCTTCAATTGGACCAGGAAGGCCTCAAAGCTGATTCTGGTGATTTAACTCCAAACTTACTAGACGCGTCCTTAGGCCACTCAGTTAGCCTGGACGAGCCCCAGCTGTCACGTTAGGATGTCACCAGCCCCTCCGTCAAAAACTCCAGTAGCATCTTCTACCAGGTCATTGTTCACAGTAAATTGTAAGGGATCCAGGCCAGAGCCCGGTGCATGTAGGTAAAATAGTTCTTCTCATCTCAATACAGACTACTTTGCATTCTATTATAGCAGATTCCCAGTGAACTACTGACCCACAGGGACTACTGAAACACCTCCATCAGGAAGCCCTCCTGGACTCGCCCAGAGTCCAGCCCATTCCCAGTCTAGGGGACAAAGCACCCTCTAATGAACTGTCTAAGAGGGACAAAGGCCCCTGGCTGTCGGTCTCAGGGGGAGAAAAATCTATTTGTGTCTGGATAAAGACATGCAAAGATGCCACTCCGCGCGAGAGCTTGCTCAGTGCCCTGAGCACCTAAGTCAAGGAGGCACATGTCAGCACTGCGTCTGCACGCCTGTGGGAAGGGCTCTCCAGACAGGAGACAGCGATGGAAACAGCGGGGAGACAGCAAGTGCTCCCTGATGTGCTCCCGGCTCCCCGCCAGCAGCCTCAGCCACCTCGGGGCACAGCTCCTCTGGCCTGTTCGTCACACTGGGTTCCTGCTGCCTGGGACAGAGAAACACATTTCCTTAAAAGGATTTTAAAAGCTCAATAAAAAGGAGCAAGGCGCTATAGGTCACCCTGCAGTGACAGAAGGATCCAAAACCATGAAAACTGAGCCCTTTCGCCATGGAAACTGTCAGTAAAACAGCTGGTGGAGAGGCCTGGATGTTTAGTCTAGTGGTTAAGACGCCCACATCCCACCTCGGGGTGTCAGGGTTTGATTCCCGGCTCTGGTTTCCGATTCCAGCTTCCTGCCATTATGGATCAGAGCAGGCAGCAGGCAGGTGACAGGAGTCAGACCCTAGCCTCCCACATGGGAGACCAAACTGAGTTCCTGGCTCCTGACCGTGGCCCTGGCCCAGCCCTGGCTGTCGTGGGCATTTGGGGGAGTGAATCAATGAATGAGATCTCTTTCTCTCGCTCTCTGCCTCGCAAATTTAAAGACTTGTCTGAAGTTTTCAGGACTCCACATGACTTCTGGGACATGGCGGCCTTGCAAAGAACCCTACAGTGTCCCGGCAGGTGCATCACCTCCAGAAGTCTGGGTCAGAAAACAAGACTTAGGCAGGGATGGGGGACTGCTGTGGGTCAGAATGCAGAGTGGACTCATTACTTCTGGAACTGAACTCTGTGTCTGAGTGAGGGTCATTTGCATGGGTGGGAGGTGAAAAGCAAGTTCTTTGAGGTCAAGGATTGAGTCTGTTTGGTTCATGGCTGAATTTCAAGTGTCTGACGCATAGTAGGCACTCAATAAATATTTGTGCACTAAACCCTGGGTTTCCTGGGTAGACAGGTTGCTAGATCTCTTTCTAAAGGCTGTCCTTGACATATGTCACCTTCCCTATGTGAGCTTGGCTTTCAAAAATGCCACACCAGGCAGTCCAAACACCCGCCAATGGCCCATTACAGGCACAAAGGGAGGAAATTTGGCTTCAGGCCTAAAGGGACAGAAGGCTTAGAGTTACAAAGGTGCTGATGAAAAGCACCTATGGATCTGGTCAAGAGGAAGACTGCTCATGCTACATTCTGTCCCTTACGATTACCAACCAATCAGGAATTTCTCCCCACCAGTCGTGGGTGACTGCCCTTGAGCCACCGCGCTGCTGTGCGGGTAATAAGCTTCCTTCGCTGGGGCTCATCAGAAGGTATCGTTTTACCCACGGTTGCTCAAGCATCCCTGATTTCCCAGGCCTCTGAGCAGGCGTGTAAACGAATGCAGTCTGAGCGCTGTGAGGTCGCGCTGCCTCCCGGCACCACGAGCTGCACATGCGCAGCAGGTTAGGCTGCGCGCTGGCTTGGGGCAGTGAGCGTCTCAGCCAGTGCAGGCACAGAGCTGCGGGCCAGGGGGAATGCAGGATCAGACTGTGACCGCAAGGCCGCTTATCACATAACTGGATCAGCAGACGCAATCACACAGGGCGTCCTGTGGTTTAAGCGGTGACCCAAGAGAATAAAACCTCCACACTGAAGAGAAATGGTTAGAACATTGCCCACCCTTCTTTCTTTCAGGCTTTGGTCTTGCAAATCAAAGTCCCAAATGCCTGGCCTCTGTACTGGGGGGCCAGGGTGCTGAACCTGGGCCACAGGCTTCAAGGCAAAGGATTGAGCTCCCAAACAGATGATCGTTTTAGATGAGCTCACATGACCTGCTGGGAAGACCAATGAGTTAGCAGGCTGGCGCCTTGAAATCTGGTCCTAGCTGTGTTATTAACCTGCATGACCTAGCTAGGGCATTTCTCTCTGTGAGCCTCACTTTCCTACCTACAAAACAGGAATAATAATCCTTTCTTGCTCTAACACTGGTGGGTGAGAGTCATTTTTTAAGGGTATATTTATTTGAAAGGCAGAGTTACAGAGAGAGAGGGAGAGACAGAGAGAAATCTTCCATCCACGGGTTCACCCTCCAAATGACTGCAAAGGCTGGAGTGGGGCCAATCTGAAGCCAGGAGCCAGGAGCTTCCTCTGGGTCTCCCCCCCCGGGCTCATGTGCCCAAGCATTTGGGTCTTCTTCCACTGCTTTCCCAGGTGCATTAGCAGGGAGATGGATTGGAAGTGGAGCAGCTGGGACTTGAACCAGCACCCATATGGGATGTTGGCATCACAGACAATAGCTTATGCCACGGTGCCAGTCTCATGAGAGTCATGTTTATGAAAGTGATTTGTAGAGGGTGGAGCAGAGGTAATACATTAGATGCAAAAAAACCCACAGGCCCTCCTAGTTTCCCACCCAAGTCTACCCAAGCCTGTCTAACACTAGTTTCCCACCCGAGTCTACCCAAGTCTGTCTGTAACACTAGTTTCCCACCCGAGTCTACCCAAGCCTGTCTGTAACACTAGTTTCCCACCCGAGTCCACCCAAGCCTGTCTGTAACACTAGTTTCCCACCTGAGTCCACCCAAGCCTGTCTGTAACAGGTGTTATATACAAGGCTCTTCCTTACAGTGGATTAGGATCTGCCTAGAAACAGCTGCAAACCATTCCCCTGGACACAGACAAGTAGAGAGTCCCCCAAACCCTCCATGGAGCAGCCACGGAGGGGAAGGCACTGCAGGGGCTGCGGGGGGCTCTGTGACTCACTATCCAGCCGCCGCCATCCGTGTCCATGTCACAGTACACCTGCAGGGGCCGGCTGGGGTCGCCGTTCAGGTAGATGGTGTAGAGGCCACTGGCGGCATTGCTGTTCTGCTGAACCTGAGTGCAGTCCGAAGGGTGTGGAAACCTGGCGTCAACTGGGAGCCGAGCAGAACGGGTTCGTTAGAAGGGCCGTGGGAAGCTTTCATAAACACCCACGAGCTTGCTTCCTGTAACTCTGCACCCCCGTCTTCCTTCCTCGCTCACTCTGCTCCTCTCAAGCTCTCTGAATGCACCAGGGTTAAGGTCAAGTTCACATCACCTCTTCCCCCAAGCCAGCTCCCCCACAAAGTAACACTTGGCACAAAGTAACACTTGGCTCCTCTTCCGTCTCTCTGCTGCGACAGGAGCCTATTTTCATGTCTCCCCGCTGAGAAAATCTCCACCTCTTGACCTACTTGCAGCGCCCTGAACACCCGGCCCTGCTTCTCCCACGTGTGCTGTCTGCCGCGCTGTCACTCAGAGAGCAGGAGTGCAGGGTACCTGTGGAGAGGGTGGCGGAGACAGTCTTGCTCCGGCGATCCCCCTTGAAGGCGACCAAGGAGACGGGGTAGGTGACGCCATGCTCAAGGTCTTGCAGCTCAAACCTCTGCTCGCCTCTTCGCAACTGCACCTCCTACCAGGAAAGGAAGGGCAGGTGGTGACTCAAGCCCTGGCTCCCTACATGTCAACAGCACTGCCCGGTGTTGACGGCACAAGCTCTCTGAGGGCTCAGTGGCAACCCAGGATTCTCGGGAGTCCCAGTCACTTCTCGGGAGTGCCGTGCCATGGAGATTTGGCATCACCGGGCGCATCAGCCGAGAACACTGCCACTTCAGGAGCACTGGCCAGGGTTCCTGGGACTTCCACTTTCACATGGGGCACAGACTTCAGCCGCCATGGGCAGCAGGAGGTTGGCAGGCTAAGGAGTTGTTAAAGGGGGGAGTGAAACTGGCCCCTGATGTCTGTGAGACACGGTGATAGCTGGTATTGCCGTAAACTTCTTTCTGAACCTGTGTCACTTCCCCTATAAACACAGGACTGACTTTCCTAGCTGGGTCACCAAAAGCATTAATTGAGATGCTGAATAATCAAAGTACCCCTCCCATTTTTCTCTCCTCCTTCTTTCTTCCTCGCCAGAGAAGAGAAAAATGATAATTTTCCTTTGGCACAAAGTTTTGAAAATGTTGCTGGCCTTCAGATTGCAAGGGGAGACAGACCCTTTGAAACAGGGTGAAGCTGATCATTCAGTATTTACTGAGTAGCTCACAGGCGCCACGCACTGATTTGAGCAATGGCATAAAGCAATAAACAAAACAGGCAAAAATTCCCTTCCCTTTTATCAGGGGAGACCAACAGTAAGCAAATTAACCTGCTGCAGATACACAGCCAGCAAATATGCATTGGTCAGCTGGGAACAGCCACTAAGGGTTGTCCTCGTGTGAGACCACAGGGTTCACAAATGACCATGTGTAGCACTGTCCCCTGCACACGGCAGGTGAGCACAGGAGCCCACTGAGCGAGCAGATGGCCGTGCAACCCATCAAGTTGACTGACCCCACTCCGAGGCTGCAAAGAGAAGGCCCAAGAGAAAAGACAAGGGAGTCGCAGTACCTTCACCGTGCCGTTAGGGAGCTGGTAGGTGAGTATGTAGCCATCGATCTGAGCCAAGGGAGGCGTCCAGGTCAGGACCCCGCCAGACTGGGTTACAGCAAACGGACGGAAGTTTTTCGGAGGGTCAATTTCTGTACATAAAACGTCAGGTCAACCAAGGCAAGGGCCTTTTTGATGACTGAAAAATGACTGCATTTTCTCCCTCCACTTCCCGTGTCTCTTCCTCCCTTCCAACAGGCAGCAGGCCCCGTTCTCCCTTGCCAAGCAGCCTTCCTGACCTTTCTGGTGCATGAACACTCGCTGAGGACAAGGACTAAGGAGCAGGGCTTTGATGGGTCCCCCACCTGCCCAGCAGCTTCCCGGGGTGGGGGGGGATAAGAGCGGTCTACAGCAGCACGTGGGTTCGCACAGGTGGCAGGGCTGCCCAGCTGACGTGGAAAGATGAGAGAGCACAGATCTGGAAGGCTGCGCGCATGGAGACCGGGATGACTCAGCAAACAGCTGCCTGGGAGGACATCTGAAATGCAGACGGGCCTCCCACAGCTCGCGCTGGGAAAGTACCCAAGACCCACCTGCAGCTCCAAGGAGCAGACAGGACCCTACACGGACTGAGATTTCTGACCAACGTGCAGAACAGGGGCTGATGATGGAGGGTAAGTTGATAGAGAATTATAAAGCTATGCCTCTTACATACCATAGGAACACAGAGTCATATTTCATACACATCTAAGAGTGTGGCGCTAGACGCACGTCCGGGAGAGGGACAGGAGAGGGGGCAGTACTTGTCTAAAGGACGTGAGCCGGGGGAGGGAGGCAGCAGAGAGCCTTCCAGAATCTCCATGGCTCCCTACCCAAAGAGCAGAGGGAACTTGTGGGTGTGTGAGAATGCATGATAGACCAGGACAGAGACGCCCAGCGGAAACACTCATCAACATCGTAACAGCTGGTCAGGCGGCTCATTTTTTTACCCAAATAAGACATGAATGGAAAATTCCACTTTGAAAAAGAAATCACCATAGACGGTGATTTTAATTTAGAAGTTCCCAAAGAGATGTCTCCAAGCGATTTTCTCCGCAGTAGCATTTCAGTTGAGAACTGAATTGCAGCATTTTAATAGAAATCAGACAGCTGTTGTTTTGAATTAGGGTGTTTTGACAAATTTTGAGTTTCTGTAATATCAGCTTGGTTTGATTTTCTGAAGCATAACATCTGGCATGGATTTGATTCTACCCATCACACGGAAAAATTGAATTTCCTGTTTGCAAAATCAAAGCAAGACTGCAACTACTTAAGTATCTAAAGCTCACTTTTGCCACCTCTTTGATTGCTTATGGATCCCCAGTTGTGGAGGGTGGGGGTTGGTTTGAGAATAATGTAGAAAGATGATAACTTCATTATTGTTGTCTTTACAATCAGAAAAAGAAAAAGAAGAAAGAGAGGAAAGAAAGTGCAAAGGAGAGAAGGAGCAACAGAGAAAGGAGTGGAGGGGAAGGCAGGAGGTCCCAGTCAGTGGCTGCCCCTGGAGAGCCACGCTAGGGACTAAGGCATCTGGAACGGGGAAACAGGGCAACGTCTCCACATACTTTTTTCCAGTTTGAAGATTTTTCCCGTAAGCATAGATGACTTTGGGGATTAAAAATCCTGGCTAATTTTCATTAATAAAAATCATGAAGAAATTGAAGGCACGTGTAACTCCATGGCCACACTTGCTGCATGGACCCAGGGGGGATGGGCAGGTCCCTCCTGCACTCCCAGGTGTGACCTGATTTCATGGCCTCGGCGTTGGAGGGAAGGCCCCCACGCACACAGAATCCACATGGCCCGGGCACCTGTAAGCATCAGCCGGGGATGGGAGGGAGGAATGGTTCCACCATCAGCCCCTTGCCAGACAAGAAAACCAAAGAGGCTCCTGCCTGTCTCTCTGGGCAGAGGGCCTGAGAGCTGGCTGAGGGCAGCCTCCTAGGCTCATCTGTCACACCACTACCCTACACTCTGAAGGTCACGGCAACACATCGCTGCTCCAAGGCCCAAGGGAACCATGCCGATGACCATCCTCGCAGGAAGCCAGCACCCTGCCTGCTCCCCTCCCCACCCAGTCATGCAGAAAGACTTCCCTAGTAAGTGTGGAGGTTCCCAGGTCCCAGCCCTGCCCTGTTACCTGTCAGGGCCTTGGTGTTGGCCTTCTTGCTGTCCCGGCTCCCCTTCTTAGCCCACACGTGGACCGTGTACTCCACGCCCGGCCTCAGGCCCGTGAGCACGGTGCTGCTCCGCTCCTTGCCCACTGGCACCTCCTTGCTCTCGCCGTCGGCAGAGGTGTAGCGCACCACGTACCTGTCGATGTTGGCCCGCACCGGGTCCCAGGACACGGTGGCCGTGTTCTCCGTCACCCAGTTGGTCACCAGGTTTTTGGGGCTGTCGATTTCTTTTTTAAAAGATTTAGACAAAACTGGGCTTCAGAACCAAGACAGGGCATCCGTACACCCAATCACCCTCCACTCCGGTTATGGTGAGGAACGGTATTAACCCACTTAAAACAGGAGTAAGAGGCCCGCCGGACAGTGGAGGACAAACCACTGGGCGTGCAAAGCAATCAGACCTTCTCCACGGTTATCAATAGAGAAGCCTCCCGTTTACACAAAAGTAATCAAAGTCTCCCCGAGCCACAAGCTAAGCCCCCAAGGCTGCTATCGCAACAGTCTCTCTCCTGACCCCCATGGTTCCTAGTTGTTTTGTTTCACAGAATTTGAGGGCTGAGAAGTTCTATCTGCCAATCGGCTTCACTTCTAACCAAGGGAATGGAGACCCAGAGAAACGCAGTCTCGTCCACGCTCCCGCGTCTTCCTGCACGGAAACCAAGCCTAGACGCCTTGCAGGCTGTGTTCCGAGTCTGGAGGCCTCCCCCTGCTCGAGGACTTCACAGCTTCTCATCTGCTCGATCTCTCCCGCATCGCCAGCTTCTCCACCATCTGGCCCAGACGGACGAGCTCTCGGCTCTCTCCTCCCTCCCCGTGTCCTTCTGTTTCTCTGCACCCAAATTAATTACCCATCCTGAGAAGCCTGCACACCTTAACTTCACCACACTCACATGCACCCATCCTGCACCTCGCCGTGAACTCTGCTGCTCCAGGTCGCCAGCAACCTCCGTGCTGTCTAGGGACCTCCCTAGATGTCTAGGGACACCTGCCATCCTCCCTTCACTCAGCTTCCCAGTGGCAGCTTCGAGAACTGATCCACTGTCTCCCCTAAACACTCTCCGCTCTTGGCTTCTATGACCACGCACTCCACTGACTTCCCTCCTAACTCGTGGGCCCCTCCTCCGCACCAGTCCTTTGTCAGCAACCTCCCATGTTGCGGTGTCCGATCCCGCCCCCCCTTCATTTCTCTCCAGGCAATCTCCCTATGACCACAGCCTGAACAGCAGATGGATGCTCTCGGATCAATTCTGAGCCGCTGACTTGCATCTAAACTGCCTCTCCCCGCAGTGCCTGGCCTATCCAGACACTCAGTTAATATTGGTGGAATCAATAAACAAATCGTTCGATTAACCAAGGAATCTCACACACATCTCAGACTTCAATATGTAAGTCTTCACAGTCCTTCCCGAGTGTATTGATCACTCTCTTAGCAGATGCTCATGAAACGTCTGCTGAAGACTGACACTTTGCTCAAGCAGTCTACAGAACCTAAAGTCACAGATCTCAGACGCAGCAACAAATAAACCCACATGAATTACTGGTTCATTAATATTAATGATTAATTATCTGCTCTTTTCCTCACCCCATGACCTGCCAATGTGGAGGAAGAAAGCAAAACGTGAACTGCCATAGGCTTAGCACAACAGATCTTACGTTTCCAAAGAACGCTGCCTGTTACCTGTGGGAGCCTTGGTGTTGGCCTTCTTGCTCCCCCGGGCCCCCTTCTGGGCCCACACGTCCACCGTGTACTCCACGCCCGGCCTCAGGCCCGTCAGGACAGTGCTGGTCTTGTCCTTCCCCACCGGAAACTCCCTGGTCTCGCCGTCGGCAGAGGTGTAGCGCACCATGTACCTATCGATGTCGGCCTGCACCGGGTCCCAGGAGACGGTGGCCGTGTTCTCCGTCACCTGGTCAGTCACCAGGTTTTTGGGGCTGTCGATGTCTGCAAGGGAAGAAGTTGATCATCACGCACTATTAAGAGACCCCCTATTTTGTCTGGGGTGAGAGCCTTTCACGCTTTGTGGGTCTTCCGTGTCACAGCTCCTGTTTTGCTTCTCAGCTGTCCTGTCCCCCTGCATCTTCTCCCCCCAGTGCACTTGGCTCCCTGAGTAGAGAGCACAATAGGCCAGAATCTGAACATCTGGGCTTTTACCAGCACGAAGAATTTAGCAAAACCAATCTCTATTTATTCAGAGGGGTACACGAAGCCCCTACTCTGACAAGGCGTGTTCTAGGCTGTGTGCAGGCTCCAGAGTTGCAGACACCGTCTCTGCCAACAAGGAGCGAACAATTTTGTGTCTAGCAGCATAAAGGCCTTCCATTCATGCTAGAAGATTCTAAAAGCCAGGGCCAAGTGGGAGCTCTTGGGGAAGAGGGCATTCTGTTCCCCTCTGTCTCCCAAGGCCTCGTGGATGACAGGCACATACTGACATATATACTACTAAATAAATCAGCAAAGTCTCGCTCTAATGTTCTTTAGCAGATCACGGTCTCAGTTGTTGTGCTGGCTAAATCCCCGTGAAATACGATCATATATTTCTTTCAGAATAATAAGGATACAACACAGTAGTTACCTCAGTCTCAAATCCTGGGCCCACGCACACTGTACAGACCAAAAATAAATTCCTCCCTTGTGCAAGCAACTGTTGTTTGGGTACTTCTGTCAATGTGTGTCCTACTACTACTCACCCAGCCCCTCGAAGAAACATGTCTGCCCCACTGTTACAATTATGAGTCATTTTTAATCAAATGAATCCTATATCTACAGGATAAGGCAGGAAAAAGTTGAGTTTTCAATATACAGTACAATTATTATATTTCAATATACAGTGCAATTTTCAATATGTAGTACAGAAACAACACTTGATTTTAATTTTCTGTACACACTCACAAACTCACTAGGAGACCCCAAAAAGCCCTACAGCCACAGATCTACACAACCAGAAGAGCAGTAAAGAATATGACACCCTCTCAAGGCCTGGACAGAGCCACTGGGATCTCCCTAAAGGACACAGCTGAAGGAAGGAGGAAAGGCGTGCGTATTCTAACATACAGGGATACCTCGCTGTTTCTCCATCAGTGACCCGTTTCTGCCGATGTGGAAGAAGGAAAATACACTTGGCCACTAGGAGACCTAGGATGACAGCCTCACATCCCCAAAGATGGACGCTCATTACCTGTCGGGGCCTGGGTGTTGGCCTTCTTGCTCTCCCGGGCCCCCTTCTGGGCCCACACGTCCACCGTGTACTCCACACCCGGCCTCAGGCCCGTCAGGACAGTGCTGGTCTTGTCCTTCCCCACCAGAAACTCCCTGGTCTCTCCGTCGGCAGAGGTGTAGCGCACCATGTACCTGTCGATGTCGGCCTGCACCGGGTCCCAGGAGACGGTGGCCGTGTTCTCCGTCACCTGGTCAGTCACCAGGTTTTTGGGGCTGTCGATGTCTGCAAGGGAAAGGAGTGATCCATATGCACTACTTTCAGGCACCAAAGGGAGGACCATCTTGCTTCGGCCGAGACATGTTCCCGTCCTTGGGGCTGTCCTGTCCCCTCTGCTGGTTCAGGTGCTCCGTGGACATGGACCTCGGCTCTCCTGCTGGCCTCTGCGTCCTCCAGGGGGCAGCACGGGGCAGGGAATGGGCTAAACCCAGAGTCAGAGCCCTGGGTTCTAGCCCAGCCCAGAGGGGCAGAGCAGAGGGACCAGAGCACCATGGGCTGCAGCCGCAAGACCAGGACTGGAATCCGCGCTCCGCCTCTGGGCAGCTGTGGCCTTGGACACCTCAGCTGCCTCTGTCCGGGCCTCAGTTTCCTTACCTACAAGATGTAGGCCTCAGACAAAACAGATCCTGAGTTTCTACAATATTCCACGAAGATTCCTGTATTCGTGTATCTAACTGCACGTAGCGGCAGCAGTGGGACTTGGAGAAATCCTATACTGCACTGTATCTGAGGTTTCTCGGCTGCAGACTACAGTTATCGATTCCTGCTCTATCGAGCTCAACAAATTCCTCTGAGGACCAAATAAATGAGGAAAATAACCCTCACCATTGCCGGGGGAATGTAAAACAGTGCAGCCACGTTGGAAACAGCCCAGAAGTTCTGCGAAAAGTCAAAGACAAAGTGACCACATGACCCGGTAATGCCTCTCCTAGGCGGACATCTGAGGGAAATGGAGACGTATGTGCAGACAGAAACCTGCACACAAGTGTTCGTCTCATCACTATCACAGTGGTCAAAAAGCGGGAACAAACGTCTATGAGCCGACAAACGGATGAACAAAATGCGGTCTATCCATGCAGTGGACTTGCGTGACAATGAAGTCAAGTACTAACCCATGTCGCAACAAGCATGAAGCCTGAAAACATGGCCGGTGAGCAAGCCAGTCAGAATGGTCAGGTACTTGATGGACCCATTGATGTGATAATTCCCTACTAGGAAAACCTGTCAGGACAGGAGGAGTGATTCCCTCAGCCTGGGAGAAGTGCGGACAAGGAAAACTGCTACTGGGTATCGGGCTCCCGACTGGGATGATGAAAATACTCAGAGTTAGATGGTGGTGATGGCTACCCAACCCTATAAATGTGCCAGGAACAACTGAATTGTATCCACTAAAAAGTGTAAATTTATACCATGTAAATCATATCTCAGTAAGGAGCAAAGAGATAGGAAAAAAGCTTTGACTCTGAACTGTTACTGAATGTAACTACCAGTTAGAGGGCCCCTGAAACAGAGCACACAGTACTCAAAAGAAGAATTACTAAGAAAGTAATAATCCCTCCTTATTCAAAAGCGATCATAGCAAAAGCCACTCCCTAAGTGTTTGGTTCACAGATTCTACATAACCAGTTCCTTTATGTTTCTCCCTTGGAAGAATATGAAGTGACTGATCACAAACAAAACACACAACGGGAAGAACAGAGGTGGCGTGGCCGAGCACCGCCAGCCTTCTAAGGCCACAGATGCGGCTGCAGGTGCGAAGCCTTTCTTCTAAGGTAATGTGTTGGAGTGAGACCAGGTGGCATCAGTCTGACAGAGGTCTGCAGTACTGATTGCTGCCAGTGGCAGCAAAGGAAAACAAAACTTGACACCCATAGCTTAGCGTGACAGGTCTCACATCCCCAAAGATCGACGCTCATTACCTGTGGGAGCCTGGGTGTTGGCCTTCCTGCTGTCCCGGGCCCCCTTCTGGGCCCACACATCCACCGTGTACTCCATGCCCGGCCTCAGGCCCGTCAGGACAGTGCTGGTCTTGTCCTTGTCCACCGGCACCTCCCTAGTCTCTCCGTCGGCAGAGGTGTAGCGCACCACGTACCTATCGATGTCAGCCTGCACCGGGTCCCAGGAGACGGTGGCCGTGTTCTCCGTCACCTGGTCAGTCACCAGGTTTTTGGGGCTGTCGATGTCTGCAAGGGAAAGGAGTGATCCATATGCACTACTTTCAGGCACCAAAGGGAGGACCATCTTGCTTCGGCCGAGACATGTTCCCGTCCTTGGGGCTGTCCTGTCCCCTCCGCTGGTTTCAGGTGCTCCGTGGACATGGACCTCGGCTCTGCAGCTGGCCTCTGCGTCCTCCAGGGGGCAGCACGGGGCAGGGAATGGGCTAAACCCAGAGTCAGAGCCCTGGGTTCTAGCCCAGCCCAGAGGGGCGGGGCAGAGCAGAGGGACCAGAGCACCATGGGCTGCAGCCGCAAGACCAGGACTGGAATCCGCGCTCCGCCTCTGGGCAGCTGTGGCCTTGGACACCTCAGCTGCCTCTGTCGGGCCTCAGTTTCCTCGTGTGTAACATCTGGGATTCAGGTTGGGTAAACCTGGAGGTTTCTCCAAGCATTAATATTCTATGCATGCATCTCATTTCTCACATTACTAACTTGTTTCATGACCGTGGGCAAATTGCTTTCCTTTATTTCTGCGTTTGTAAAATGAGGTTGCTAATACTTAATGTGCGTATCTCTCTGTAATCCAAGACAAAACCGCGTCATGCAGAAAAGGAGCTGAAACACTAGAGTCCTGCAGGTTTGCCACCCTGGAGCCCAGAGTATCGCTTTACATGTCCAAAGGTAAGCCTCACCTCTGCGCCTACCTCCAGCCTCAGCCCCACCAAAGGGTCGGGCGGCAGGGGGAGATGACAGCACAGCCTAGAGTTAATAAGACATCTCTACGACCTTCCAGGTCACTGAACAGATGCTGAGGGACCGTGAGTTAGTATTATTAATACTAATAATACTAATACTAATAATAGCACTAATAATACTAGTATTATTAATAAAAACCAGCTTGTTATTTTATCAGTGCAAGATATTATATTTATAACGCACACACAGAAGGCAGGTACTCAAAAATGTATTCACCAGGAAAATATTTGCATTTCTGTGTCCTACATAGTCTACCGCAAAGCCATTTCCCCAGAGGCGTTCGCTCAGACGCTGGCTCAGAGGACAAGACCACTGGCATCTGCGTTCTGAGGCAGAATTAGAGGCTGCAACACGTATAAGGCCTTCACATCCGGTCGAATGGACAAAGGGTGCACGCCTGCTCCCTGGGGACCAGAGTGGGCCCACCTGGGGCTGCGTTAGCAGCTGTCCTACAGGGCCACCTGCAGGGGCGAGGTGCTGGAGGGCAGTAGAGGGAGCTCAAGAGGCCAGGGGACAGGCACTGCCTCAGAGTGACCACGGTGAGAGGCGCTGGTGGACCAAGAACACAGAAGAGAGAGAAGAGCCCACTTGCGGCCCCGTCAGCCCCACAGGCCCCAGACAGCCTTGACTGACACAGGCGAGCAGGGTCGTCCGTGACGCCTGGCCTTCCTCCTCCTGCTGCTGACCCATATCCTGACCCCGTTCCTCTCCTCCTCCTGCTGAATCCCCCCCTCCTCTGAGCTCTCCTCCCTCCTGACCCCGCACCCTGCCTCAGTTTACACTTCCCAGCTGTGCCAAACACACGTGGGTTGGAAACTGTGCTTGGCAGGCTGGAAAGTGCTAGAAGGACAAGGAGGGACAGGCGGGAGAAGCCAAACAGCGCCCTCCCACAGCCGGCAGCTGGTCTGAGCCAAAGGGAGAAATGAAGGTGGCCCTTCCTGGAGAATGACCCTTCCCTTCCTAAAGAATGGGCAGGTCAGCAGCTACGGTACCGGGACACTACCTTATGTTAGCTAATACTGCACCACTAGTGCTGTGTAACGTTCACCCCAAGGGCAGAAACACGAGTGGCATTTAGCCCAGCAGTTAGGTTTGATTCCCAGCCCTCGTTCCTGGCTGCAGCTTCCGGATGATGCACACTTGTGATGCAGGAGACGTAGCTCAAATAGTTCTGTAGGTGACCTGGACTGTGTTCCTAGCTCCCGGCGACAGCCCTAGCCCAGCCCCAGCCACGCCCCAGCCCCACCCAGCCCGGGCTTGCTCGGGTGAAGCCATCCCGAGCCCCAGCCTAAGCACTAGCCCCAGCGCCCGTCCCATTCCAGCTCCTGTCAAGGCTCAGTCTCAGCCCTAGCGGTAGCCCATCTCCAGAGCAACCCAGACCAGGACCAGCCCAGCTCCCAGCCCAGCCCAGCCCCAGCCCAGCCCCAGACCAGCCACAGCCCAGCCCAGCCCCAGCCCTGCCTCAGGCCTGCCCAGCCCAGCGCCCAGCCCAGCCCAGCCCCAGCTCCAGCCTGGTCCAGCCCAGCCCCAGCCCAGCCCCAGCCCAGCTCCAGCCACGCCCCAGCCCCAGCCCAGCCCCAGCCCCGCCCAGCCCCAGCCCCGCCCCAGCCCCGCCCAGCCCCACCCAGCCCAGCCCCAGCCCAGCCCAGCTCAGCCCCAGCCCAGCCCCAGCCCTGCCCAGCCACTGTTGGCATTTGAGAATTGAATCAGCAAATGAGAATGCTCTCACTCACTCTCTCCTCCCCCGCAAATAAAAAATGTTTTAAAAATTAAAATAAGAAATAAAATTGGAAATAACAAAAGACATGAACAAAACCAAGCTACACGGGAAGGGGTTTCAACAGGTAAGGAGGTTGTTTTTTTTTTTTTTTTTAAGATTTATGTGTTTATTTATTTATTTGAGAGGTAACAGTTACAGAGAGAGAGAAAGAGAATGGTTTCCATCCACTGGTTCACTCCCTAAATGGCTGCAACAGCTGGAGCTGAGCCTGTCAGAAGCCAGGAGCCAGGAGCTTCTTCCGGGTCTCCCACACAGGTGCAGGGGCCCAAGGACCTGGGCCATCTTCTGCTGCTTTCCCAGGCCACAGCAAAGAGCTGGATCGGAAGAGGAGCAGCCGGGACTCAAACCAGCATCCATATGGGATGCCGGCACCACCGGTGGAGGCTTAGCCCACTCTGCCACAGCGCCGGCCCCAGGTCAGCAGTTTTCTAAGAAGCAGTTTTGGGCTCACAGCCCACAGCTGACGGTCACTGTGCTTTCATCAAGTTTATTGTTGTCTGTGAAGGTGAAGCACCTTGTGTGTTAATAACACAGATGGGATACAGGCAGAGGAGGAGGGAGGGACCATAGAAACAACCAGCCATTTTTAAAAACCAGTTTAGGGGCCAGGGCTGTGATGTAGTAGGTTCAGCCTCGGCCAGTGGTGTCGGCATCCCATATGGTCACCGGTTTATGTTCCTGGCTGCTCCTCTTCCAATCCAGCTCTCTGCCATGGCCTGGGAAAGCACTGGAAGATGGCCCAAGACCCTGCGCCCCTGCACCCACGTGGGAGACCTGGAAGAAGCTCCTGGCTGCTCGCTTCGGATTGGCCCAGCCTTTGTGGCCCATCTAGAGAGTGAACCAGCAGATGGAAGACCATTCTCTCTGTGTCTGTAACTCTACCTCTCAAATAAATAGTTTTAAATTTTTTTAAAAAAATTAAAAAGCACAGAGGTTAGAGACCACAATGTGAGACACACATGCTAAGAGAAGTCATTCAAAAGAAACCTGAGGCACACAATACACGATGGAGGCACACCAACCTTCTCCTCCCCCAAATCTCTTTTTTTCCCAAGGTCCTAGAAGGAAAGTCAACGCAGACAGATGACAAGCAGACTGCGTTACCTGTCGGGGCCTGGGTGTTGGCCTTCCTGCTGTCCCGGGCCCCCTTCTGGGCCCACACGTCCACCGTGTACTCCACGCCCGGCCTCAGGCCTGTCAGGATGGCGCTGGTCTTCTCCTTGTCCACCGTCATCTCCCTAGTCTCTCCGTCGGCAGAGGTGTAGCGCACCACGTACCTGTCGATGTCGGCCTGCACCGGGTCCCAGGAGACGGTGGCCGTGTTCTCCGTCACCTGGTCAGTCACCAGGTTTTTGGGGCTGTCGATGTCTGGAAGGGAAGTGTTGGAGAAAGCCTAAGCTCTGGTGCCGTGGGAAACGTGGGCACCACTCTATCATCATGGCTGTCTTTCTCAGAGCCCTCAGCACGAGGCCAGGGAGGCCATTCTGGGCCTGTGGGTCACTGCAAAGGAGGAATCCTCATGAACTTGGCATTCTTTCTAGGCTTCCAGGTCTCTAAGACATGGGAAGAACAGTGTCTTCTTAGCCATCAACAGCGTAAACTGAACAGCTGCATGATGCAGGGGACCTGACTTTGATCAAGGGACCTAACAGTATTATCGTGAGCTTAAGTCTCTCAGCTCAGCCCACCCTTCCGACACCACGCACTCTCAAATCCATAAGCTCGAAGTTCAGTTTCAACAGCCCGTCTCCCCCTGGTTACCTGTCGGGGCCTTGGTGTCGGCCTTCTTGCTCTCTCGGGCCCCCTTCTCAGCCCACACGTGGACCGTGTACTCCACGCCGGGCCTCAGGCCCGTGAGCACGGTGCTGCTCCGCTCCTTGTCCACCGGCACCTCCCTGGTCTCTTGGTCGTCGGCAGAGGTGTAGCGCACCATGTACCTGTCGATGTCAGCCTGCACCGGGTCCCAGGAGACGGCGGCTGTGTTCTCCGTCACCCGGTCAGTCACCAGGTTTGCTGGGCTGTCGATTTCTTTAAGAGACAGACGAAAGAAGACTGTAGCCCTTACCACCCTCCAGTTCCTGAAAGGCCAGCACACACAAAGTGTTGTCCTCAATAAATTTCAGTCATTCTATGGCAGCAATTGAGAGAACTTCAGGGTGTAACTAAGCGAGTTGTCAGAAATTACAAGAATGATCTACGAGCATTTAATGCAAACTGATTTTCAGGCCTCGCCAAGATATACATCAGCTCCAGGTATAAACTTTCCCCTACAAGTTGCTTTGGGATAAAAGAGGGAAGAAAGGGTCCTCACACACAAATCTCTGTTACTCTGGATTTCCATAATATACCCTTTTTAACAAATATTTATTTTTATTTATTTTGAAAGAATTACAGAGAGAGGTGGGGGGGGCCTTCCATCTGCGGCTTCACTCCCCAGATGGCTGTCACTGCTACAGCTGAGCCGATCCAGAGCCAAGGGCCAGGAGTTTCTTTGGGCCTCTCACATGGGTGCAGGGGCCCAAGGACTTGAGCCATCCTCTGCCGCTTTCCCAGGCTCATTAGCAGGGAGCTGGATTGGAAGTAGAGCAACCGGGACTTGAACCGGCACCCATATGGGATGCCAGCGCTGCAGGCCTGGGTTTTAACGCGCTGCACCACAGCGCCAGCCCCCATAATATACTCTTTCATCTCCTAACTCCTTATACCTGGACGTAATTATATTTCAATAAAGCTCTGTATCTGTTCTTTTTTTTTCTTTTTCTTTTTTTTTTTTTTTTGACAGGCAGAGTGGATAGTGAGAGAGAGAGACAGAGAGAAAGGTCTTCCTTTTGCCGTTGGTTCACCCTCCAATGGCCACCACAGCTGGCGCGCTACAGCTGGCATACCGCACTGATCTGAAGCCAGGAGCCAGGTGCTTCTCCTGGTCTCCCATGGGGTGCAGGGCCCAAGTGCACCTCCACTGCACTCCCTGGCCACAGCAGAGAGCTGGCCTGGAAGAGGGGCAACTGGGACAGAATCCGGCGCCCTGACCAGGACTAGAACCCGGTGTGCCGACCTAGTGAGCCATGATGCCGGCCTGTATCTGTTCTAATATGTTCTTCCAAAAGAAAATATCCTAGATGAATATGATTCTTTCCCTAGCATCCACGATGCCTGTGACCAGGGAACCAGCAGACTCTTTAGCTCACGGTGTCTGAGGTCTGGGCTAACAAAAATAATCCTAAAAAAATAATTCAGCGTGAGGAATCTGTCTGGGTTTCTATGTGATTAAACCATGTTGGAATCTGGCCCACTGTCTCCTGGCTGTTCACTTGGCACGGCTGTGCGGTTTAAGTGTCTGCACCCTCATATCTAGGAAGAGGAAACTGCACGGTCAGGCAGATAGCAAACAGGACATTGTGCAGCAAACCGTTAGCTGAGCAGTGACTACTGAGGGCACACGAGGCATGAAAGTTACTTTCTTCTGTGCTGTGGTGCAGCGCCAGCATCTCATGATGGCACTGGTTCGAGTCCCAGCTGCTCCACTTTCAATCCAGCTCCCTCTTCATGTGCCCGGAAGTGAGCAGAGATGGCCCAAGTACTTCGGTCCCTTGCCATCCATCTGGGAGACCCGGATGGAGTTCCTGGCTCCTGGCTTTGGCCTGGCCCCAACCGTCACAGCTATTTGGGGAATGAACCAGCAGATGGAAGATCTCTCTCTCTGTGTCTCTCCCTCTCTCTCTGTCACTCTGCCTTTCAAATAAATAAAAATAATTCTTTAAAAAAAAAAAAACATAAAACCTCTTCAGGATGGACAACTACATCCCATTTCAGAGTACCTGGATTCAAGTCCTGGCTCTGCTCCGATACCGGCTTCCTGCTAACGTGCACCCTGGGACGTAGCAAGTGATGGCTCAAGTTCCTGGGGCCCTGCTACCCATGGAGGAAATCCGGACTGTGCTCCGGATTCCTGGCTTCAGGCTGGGCCAGCCCTGTTGGGGAGTGAACCACAGGCTGCCGGATCTCTCTCTTTCTCGGTGTGTGTGTGTGGGGGGGGGGTGTCTGTGTGTGTGTGTCTGTGTGTGTCTGTCTCTGTGTGTCTGTCTCTGTGTGTGTGTGTCTGTGTGTGGGTGTCTGTGTGTGTGTGTGTGGGTGTGTATGCCTGTGTGTATCTGTCTCTGTGTGTGTGTGGGTGTCTGTGTGTGCCCGTGTGTGTGTGGGTGTCTGTGTGTGTCTGTCTCTGTGTGTGTGTCTGTGTGTGGGTGTCTGTGTGTGCCTGTGGGGGGTGTCTGTGCCTGTGTGTGTGTGCCTGTGTGTGTGTGCGTGTGTGTATCTGTCTCTGTGTGTGTGTGGGTATCTGTGTGTGCC